AAATTTCGCTTAGTTCCCGTTGCTATGGTAATAACATGTCTAGCAACCTATATAAAAATGCATATTTTTGTTTTAAATCTAATATTTCCCATATCTCTGCTTCTAAATAACACAGAGTTTTGATTTTAAGTGCTAAACATACATTTACAGGGACAAGGAATCATATTAATTAAATTTTAACGATCTAAACCTAGCCAAAAAGCCGAAACGGCAGCCATTTTACAAAATGGCCGCCATAAACCTGATATTTCGCAATATCTCCGCTTCTAAATGACTTAGGGCTTTGATTTTTCAGTGCTAAATATACATTTTCTGGGCCCAGGAATCCTTTGAAACACATTTCAATAAGCTAAACCTGACCAAAAAGCATTATTCTGAGGATGTGTCAACTATATACCATGGCATGCCGTATGTCTGATGGACAACGTACATGTATAGGTCATAATTATTCAAGGACAATATCTTGGAATCCTGTGACGAAAGGAAGGATGCCTGGGCAGAAACAGTCAAAGCCCGTGTCCTCCATGTGCATGACCTTCATGCTGCAGATGCAGTGTACCACCAGGTCTGCAGTGTTAACTAATGCTGTGATGTCTCATGGAACTGACATACCTGATTTCAGTTTGTCCAGTTTGCTGCAGACAATGTAGACCACAACATATGTACCCTTGATGGTAACAATACATTACATGGCATGGGGATGATTGCTGCAATAACCCCAGCCACCAAGACCAGCAGACCTACCCTCAGGGGGCAGGTCACCCACAGAGATATCTGACGGTGGGACGAATTCCTATCCTTTACCACAAAGAAGAGAACCGCGGTATGACAACACTGGCATACCAGAAGATGGTCAACATGAAGGCAAAGGACCCAACACCAAGACTGGCATGGTCTGGACTGATGCAGCAAGTGCATCATGGTGACCACCCCGGGAAATCATCGGTGATGTTTCTCCCAATGTCATGATCAACATGAATCCCAGCGATGTCACTTGCATCGATTCCACACTGAAGTTTGTGTGTGAGCATGCTTGTCGCCATGGTCTTACGCCCATCATCACCTTTGACCAACCACACTGAGCCCACAGGAAGTGTTTTGAATGACATGCTTTTGCGCCTGGGAGGCTTTCACACAGAAATGAGTTTCTTGGGAAGCAATCTATGCAGATAATGCGGTGGTACGCATGATGTCAAGCAAGGCTATTGCACGAGCAATACGGGGACATCTACTTGTTGATGCAGCACTGAATGCCTTGATTTTGTCTGACGCACTTGGTATGCCACTCCCTCAACCATCTGCAGATCCACATGAAGTGGAGGAGACCAATGAGGCAACAGTGTCACCAGATGATGAACCTACGACAACTGACGGAACTGGAAACACTGATCTTGATGAACGTGCTGCCCTCTACAAGAATCTGATAGAAGGTTCTGTGTCTGCAGAGGAGTTCTGCCAAGCTGATGTTTTAACCAGAATCAGAAGCTCCTCAGGGCCAAAACCGAATCCTTGAAGTCCTCTAGGACCGCCACACTTTGGCTACAGTACATGGAGATGGTTGACATACTACGGAAGTTTATTGGAGCAGAGCGCATTGGCAACTGGGCATTGCACCTTGAAGCTGTGTCAGAAATGTTGCCCTACTGTGCTGATCGGAGATGACACATATCTACTCATCCTGCTCATCTACCACACCAACCTCAAGTCACGTGTGTGACCTGTTCTTCAAACCCGAGCCAAAGAAGAATGTGAAGAAACCGCGTGTCTGGAACATGAAGTCTGTCAAACAGCAGTTAGGCCCCGGCCGATGTATCACAGCACATTTGCTTCATGCACGCTCTCCTGGGATGTGATACTATTCCCGCGTGCATGGCTTCCCTTCACAAATTCAAAATCAGTGCCCACTTCCGTTAACAAGCAATTGTGTTTGACATGAAGACCGACAGCGTCCACCGATAATGTTGTAGATCCAAGCAGGAGAGAAAGCCATGGCATGCCTGTACAATGGGAAGCCTGCAGAGTCACTCAACCTGGCGCGACATAAGCGGTTCTGCTAGAAGGTCGCCTCCAGTCGTCATCTGTGTCCCTCACATGCATCTGCTGCAAGATCCTTGAGCACATCATTCTGAGCCACATGTCCAAGATTCTGGCAAAAAATGACATCATCACTCCAAATCCACACGGATTCCGGCAAGGGCGTTCCTGTGAAACCCAGCTTGTGGAAGCCGTTAATGATTGGGCTAGCAACATCAACCAGCAGCACCAAACTGACGCGATCTTTCTTGACCCTTGACCTTTGACTTCAACATCAATGGGAAAGCAGTTCCCAAAGCTACTTCCTAGAAATACCTCAGAGTCACAGTGGCAAACAATCTGAGCTGGAACACCCATGCACAGAAGATCCAAGCAAAAGCTGCAAGAACTCTTGGAGTTGTACGACGAGCATACAAGCAGCTTGTACGACCCCAGTTGGAATATGCCTCAAGTGCATGGAATCCACACACCCAGAAGGAGATCAAACTCATAGAGAGCATACAGAGACAAGCTGCCAGATTCGTCCTCCATGACTATAGAAGAGAATCTAGTGTCACCACCATGCTGTCATCTCTTGGCTGGGACACACCGCCGCTTGCTCAATCAATGCGAGCTGCTTTTCAAAGTACACCACAAACTTGTCCAGATCTCCTTGCCTCCTGACATCCGACTTATCACAGGCATCACCAGACCGCAACGAGCACAACATCAAAGCCACAACCTCAGATTCACCCAACCATTTTGCCGAGTTAAGTGCTACATGTACAGCATGTTTCCCAGAGCAGTCCGTGTCTGGAACACTCTCCCAAGCAACGCTGTCACTGCAAATACAATTCTTGGCTTTAGGGGAGCGGCACTACCCACCATACAGACTATGGCGCCGCCCCTGCCCCTGAAGATGTTGTAACGAGGGACACACCTGCACCACCTACACACTGCACCCTGCACATTGTATATAGTGCACGGAGAACAACCACCATCACTTCACCAACAGCACATCACCAACAGCACGCAACACAGCACAGCCCTCTCCAGGACAGCGTTCACGCTTTTGGGAGAGTAATTCTTCAAGGTTCAAGGTTCCAGCATTTCTCATGTGCAACCCCAAAGTCTACCGCCCACTTCAGCAGCAGCAAAACACCACAGCCTTCGTGCCTACTACCATGACCGGAAGTGGAAGGGCATTGCAGCTGATGAGCTACTACCAGATGACTGGGGTTGGCGGTGGACGAGTCGTGCCCGTACAGACGGACTTGCCACCAGCTCCGGAAGAGCTCCTCAAGATGATCCGCTGCAACTGCCAGATAGACTGCAGCAGTCTGAAGTGCACCTGCAAGAAGCAGAGCATAGAGTGCTCAGCTGCATGTGGCAACTGTAGAGGTTCAGCATACACGAACTCAACCCAAGTTGCATGTGACAGTGATGACAATGAATAGACTTTTTGAGGAAGATTGATGGATCGAAGATGGTAGTCTGAGGCTATGGAAACTACATGCAGTATTATAATAATTATGACCTATACATGTACGTTGTCCATCAGGCATACGGCATGCCATGGTATATAGTTGACACATCCTCAGAATGAATGCTTATTAAAAGGTGTGTCATTGGATTCCTAGCCCCAGAAAATGTATGTTTTGCACTAAAATTCTAAGCCTTGGGAAGCAGAAATATTGGGAATTAGCAGGTTTATGGCGGCCATTTTGTAAAATGGCTGCCGTTTCGGCTTTTTGGCTAGGTTTAGCTCATTAAAAGTTAATTAAGTTGATTCCTTGTCTCTGGAAAAGTATGTTTAGCACTTAAAATCGAAACTCTATGTTATTTAGAAGCAGAGATATGGGAAATATTAGATTTACAACAAAAATATGCGTTTAATATCGGTTGCTAGGCATATTATTACCATAGCAACGGGAACTAAGCGATATTTATCATTAACATAGGATGAAAATGCATCATTCGACATCATACTTCCTATAAAAGTAGTCATCTGCTTGGTGATAGCAATTTCCTGTGATATATTCTATTTCTCACGCCAATATGTTGCCGTTGCTAAGGAGAAGATAGCCCTTAGCAACCAAATTTGCCATTTTGGCTCATAATAAAGTTTCAACTTTAGAGCGCTATAACTTTTTAGTTTGATAAGTAATAGACTTGAAATTTAGATATGATATCAACCAGGATGCTGAACAATTTTTCAGCAAGTTTCAAGTCGGTTAGCATAATAATCAAATAAATATGGAAAAATATGTATTTTGGCGCAATTCATATTTTTGAAAAAAATTGTAAAAAATCACACTTTTGGCTCAACATTGGTAAGCAAATCATCCTTAAACCCAATGAATGAGGTATCATCTTGTAGGAAATGTAATTGTCTTTCATATGACACCTTATGCATGGTAAAATGAGGTGCTGTTAAAAAATAATCCCCAGAATTGTACAACAGTAATTATACATGGCGGCCATTTTGAAAAATGGCCGCCACGGAACTTTCCCCCACCAGGATTCCTTAAGACTTTTGATATGTTATAGAGGACATATTTCTGGGTATAAAACAATTGACAGACTTTCTGTTGCAATTAGTGGGAGGTTGACCCCTTTTTTTTCACGAAATGCCTGGACTATATTCACTGAAAACTATTTTGCAGGACACTTTTCAAGCACTTAAAGACATATTCATGTGCAATTCAAACATTCTTAATCATTTGATGATACAAATACCACTAAAGGTGATGTCCTAATAAGTCCTAAGTAAACAACTATAAAAGGTACATTTTGGGGACTTGCGAACTAAGGTACGGAAAGTGTTTCCTGGGACCCGTTTCACAAAGCCTTTTATCACTGACAAATGACAAAAATCAGTGACAAATCTGCTGATAACCAATCAGAAGCAAGGATTTCAGTAGCTTATAACAAAAACTGTCATTTGTCACTGATGACAAGTTTTGTGAAACACCCCCCCTGGTAACTTACTTGAGCTCTACCTCGGTGACCTCTGTAAGCGTTGAGCCGATACTCTCTAGAAGGACACGCCCTAGATCACGCTGGAAGGATCCAGGCTTATCACTGGTTATGTGTGGCTCTCCACTCAGTGATAGACTCACTATGAACTGAGGGTAAAAAGTACAAATGTTATGAGTAAAGTAAAGACTACTGTATGTACTGCACATCCAAGGTACATGAACAGAAAGGTTGGTTACTTTTGATGAAAGAGAAGGCTTGATGTTGAGGATTGGTATGGTCACTATTGATGACAAACTAAACAATAATTCTTCAGAGACTATAACATTTTAATTCAAGAGGCATTTCCTTTTGGCTTCATCCTGAATAATAACCAGCTTACAATTCAATAGGTTTAGATTAGAATGACTCCTTGATGTTAACTCTAGAGAAACTCTCTCTTTACAGATGGCATTCCAGTGATAGCCTCAAATTGGTAATTCATACACATATTCATTATGAAAATTCATCAGAAATCCAGTATGGTACATTTAAATTATCCAGCAGTACCAGCACATGTTATCTCTAGATAGAGCAATATGACACAATATTCAACAAGTTTCTGTCCACTTTTCCTTTTGGAATCATGACAATACTATTTGTGAGGCATGTGCGTGTGCATGTGAAACCTGTTTATAGAGACCACCCAAGGGAGACAAGAAAAGTGGTCTCTATTGGCAGGTGGTCTTTAAGTACAGGTTCCTTTAGCACATGTTTCAATGAGAAACTATTTTCGAGGGAAACAAAAAATGTGGTCTTTGTAGACAGGTGGTCACTAAAAGCAGGTTTGACTGTATCATGCCAGAAAACATTGAATGACATGTCCTTTGTAATACCTTGAGTGGAGATAGATGGAAGAACTCAAAGAAGATTGGGTTGGCCGTGCTGCTTGATATGGTGTTAGATGTCTCCTTGAGTGAACTCTGGATGTAGTTCAGATCCGTACGCAATGACAGCACCTACACAAAAAACAAAACCAAAATGATTGTTGAAATCTTGAATACAGAAAATCTTATATCAACCTCCATTTTCTACTTTTATGATGATGATCATCATCATCAACATTCTCAACACCTTTATCATTATCAGAAGCAGCTGTACTACCATCGCTAGGTGAAAGTGACTAGAAATTCAATTCGATTATGATTATACTGTAGTGCTGTATAGTCATATTTTACATGCGACACACTGTTTAATGAACGTACATTGTAAATTCAGAATGATACAGTACATGTACATTAGTATTACAGAATCAATGGAATATGACTAAAGTTCACAATTTATCAAGTCTTTATCTCTGCCCCCCCCCCCCCCCATTGGCAAAAAACAAGCCAAAAAAACAACAACAACTCAAAAAAATCTTCTATATTCCCGTAAGCACAACAAAGTTGTGATAAAAATTAAAAAAAATTAATGTAAAATGAAATTTCTCTGACTGGTCTTTATCACACTTTTCACTAACTTGAAATACAACTAAAAGCACAACTTCAATTTCAAACTGAAACAAAACCTGAAGTAGAGAATACAAGTAACTTTCTAATCCATCGCTTGCCTCATCTTGTTCCTCCTGCAGGTGTGAGAAGACATCTAGTACAGACAGGATGAAACCATTGTCAACCTTCAAGCTAGCCTCCTGCACCAGCACCTTGAAGTATCTGTAGACAATAAGCCAATCAATTTGACACATATTGTTTGCGAATTGTTGATGAAACACCTGGGAGAGCACTGATGTGGAAAACTGATGTGAAAATAAATTGTTGAGATGAAATCGAATGTACATGTAAAAGGCACTTAGAGAATTACATTAAATTAAAATAGATGATCATGGGGTATTTAAATATTTTCAACTTCATGCAAATGCTTTGCACTACATGTAGCCCATGCATATCCACATCGTGAAGAAGAAAGAATAGCTTTGTCACAAATGTGATGATTGAGCATGACTGTATTAATATTGCAAAAGCCCTCCAACTTCCATTTTTGTCAAAAAAAATAATGCAATTAATTTATATTCTTTAAAATGAATTTCACAGTTTTGAAAGAAGGTCTTACTCACAACACAATGCAACTCCCACATCCCTCTATGTTAATATAAAAGTAAAGATAGGCAAAAGTCTGGTAATCTATCCTTTCTCAGACTTACTTGATAGTGTCGGCACCATACTCTGGCATCTGTCTCCTGAGAATGGACACCTCAACGAATGGTCGGGGACCAGTCTTCTTCAGAACATCCTTGGGCAGGGCATTCACATGTAGTACATTGGGAAAGTAGGCATCAAACAGCTGGTTGTCAATCTGATAATGAAAGAAGTATGTGAGAAAATGCAACCATTAAATTGCCTCTTATTTGGTAGGAGGAGGGGGGGGGGATGTTAAGAGAGAAAATATATTTTGTTAAAAGAGTGTGAATTAATCTTGGCTTAATTTTCAGATGGTCTCTATATGGACACAAACAGATTTTGAATGTGTACATGCTAGTTTCTGTTGATACATAAATGTATTAGAACTCAATTGAAATATTTGTTACTTTCTTCTTTATTTACCAGCATCGTGATCATCAAAATTGACATCATGCTCATCACAATCGACATCATAATCAACATCAGAAGCATTACTACTCGATTCAGTAGCAGCATCATTTCCAACACAGTAATAACCTTAATTAATGATGATCTTCATAAAAAGTAATGGCATGATCATTTTTTTCCTCATCCTCCTGCTCCTCCTGCTCCTCCTCTTCCCCAGTCCCCATCCCAATCATCACCATAATCACTACACATAGCTTCACATCCTAACCACCAGCTTCATGGCAAGAAACATTTTAACAACATCGTCAAGGCCACTACCACTACTACTAGCATCTCCAACACTATCACCACCAACATCACCAGCCCATCATCACCACCACCACCACCATCATCACCACCGCAACCAGCCCATCATCATCATCATCATCATCATCATCATCATCATCACCATCACCACCATCATCATCATCATCACCATCGTCACCATCACCACCACCATCATCATCAGGATCACCATCATCACCATCATCATTATCATCATCATCATCATCACCACCACCACCAACCCATCATCACAACCACCACCACCCCCATTATTATCACCATCATCACCACCACCACTAACCTGTATCTTCTGTATCTTGAGATGCAGTCCCTGATGATGGTCAGACTTCCTGAAGTGGATCCACAACCCTGGGTTATGGATCCTCTTCAGAGCTCCCTGTACTGGCTTGGCAATGGTTTGAGCTCTCAGATCAGCCTACACGAACAAGGAATGAGTGAAAATATAGTTCAAGAATACATACAATGTGCAGATACATGTACATTTATGAAATGACTTTCAGACAACTCTTTATTCCACATATAAAGTGTATGAGATTTCCTTTGACTAACCATTTTTTTCTTCTTTCTAATCAATAACCAGCACCAACATAAATCGCTATTTTAAGTGAACAGTAAAAATGTGGTACATTAAACACACAATGGATAGTTGGAACTCTACATGAACATGTAACTATAAATGTCTAAACATCAGAAAGAACATCATCCTCCTCCTCATCATCATCACCATTGTCTTTGTTTTCTTCCTTTACATGAAATAATATGGAATTTATTGAGCACAAGTAAAAATACAGTGTAGATCATGAAAAATACAGTTATTTATATGAATCAGGAATCTCTCATGAGAACCAACCTGTATCGTTCCATTATCATCAACAATGACCTCCTGTCCGTGTTTCCAGGCGTTCTCTAGCACCCCTGTGAGCTCCATGCCCAGTGCCTTCCACCTGTTAGCCTTAGACTCCACCTCCCAGCGGGCTGGGGAGCTGAACAGACTCAGATAGGCCACCTCCTCATACGCAGTGTTTACCAACGATACACCAATGCCCTGAAGAGAGGCTAGGAACTCCAGGGTGGCCGGCTCGGAGACGTTGGACTGCAAAGAGGACAGGGGATAAACAAAGTACATGATTGATATTTACCACTTCTAACTTGGGAAATCAATGGGTGAATGTGTAGATGAGGGAAATCCTAGGCTGAAATTTGGCTTGAAATTCCCTAGTGGTTGCCAAAACAAAAGGAATAATTCTAATGGAATGGAGATGGTGCACATTTTGTGTGTGGGGACATAACTCTGATGGCAAGGCTAATGATACATGTACAATGATAGCAAGTAAAGGGTACATGAATGTGATGCTCTTTTCACCATTCTTGTGTCATTATCTCATCATCATCATCATCTTCCTCCTCCACCTGCTATTCCTCTTCCTCTCTATGCCCCACCCCCAAACTCCAGCCCCCTTTCCCTACCCACATCCCCATCATCATCAACATCACCATCTTCATCACCACCGCCACCACCATCATCATCACCACCATCATCAGCAGCATAAGTAACGTTAACAATGTTACCACTATCATCATCAATATCATCATCACTATCATCATCATTATCATCATCACTATCATCATCGCCATCATCAACATCTTTATCATTACCTGAGCTGCTGCTCTAGCTATTCTAGAGCTCTGTGTATAGACAAGGACCCTCTGTAGCCCATCCATGTAAGACACCCAGTAGATTGTTGTTCTCTGTTTCTTGTTCATCAAAGGGTGCTCGAGGAGGCCATCGGATTCTGTCACGCCCTCTGAACAAAATATAAAGAATGTGAAAATAAATCCAAAACTGATTTAAAAGCAACTGAATTTGGTGTAAAATTAATTTGGCACATAAAACTGTATGTAAATCATACATGTACGCAAATAATCTCTTCAGAAAATACAACAATCACGCTGAAATTGTATTTTCATTCAACCATTCAAGATAATAAAAGATTGACAATGACAAAGAAATTCAATACTGATAACCTTACATTTTCAATGAATTTGGGTTTGATGATTCTTTATTGATTGTATGTTTACTGGCAGAGTTTTGATGGTTTTCACTATTGCTTTGTTAAAAACACAGCAATAGTGAAAAAAATCAGAGAAAGAATATTGAAAAGAGGAGAATGAATTTCAAAGAGCTGCTAGTGTTCATTTCCTTTATGTACATGTACATGTACCTACTAAAAAAAAACACTTAAATATTCAATTCTATTTTGTTCTTCTCAATTACATGTATTTTTTCTAATAAATAATTATAGCCAAAAGTCCTTGTAAAGATAACTACAGAAAGTTGCAAGAATCATCTCATTCATATAATTCATCCTCACCATCATCGGTGCTATAGACGCTTGCATCATCTCCCTCTACATAGAGTCCATCACCAGGCAGTGTGCTTCGATTTACACTATCTAAGCTCACCATCACCTTACCCCAACCATCCTGGAGAAAAAAAAACAAGAAAAGTGTTTGCTGTTGGCAGTATTTTAAATTATGTGCATACAATCATATAAATTGCGGTTTGAAGGATGAATATTCACAGAAATCAGCACCACTTTCTCCAACTTTCCAATGCAAGGGAAAAATACACACTCATTTATCCCATAAAATTGAGTAAATGCAATGTATTGCATTTTCTTTTCTAATCAGATGCATGTTATTGGGGGTTTTATGTCAGAAGGAAGTAGCATTATAGAATTGCCAATTTGAAGAGAAATAAGTGATCTATCCTCTATGGTCCACATTTGTACTAATTCAGTGAAATTCAGTATCATGTTTAACAATTTAAGAAAAAAAAAATCAGACCTCAGACTAACTTACTTTACCCAATTTCAGACAGAAGTCTAAATAATAATAATAATTCTACAGCATTTGTTATGCGTCATCGATCTAGTAAACTATTCTGAGGCGCAGAGGGAGATTGTTACCCTGGCTTTAGCATAGCTACCATTACTGTGCTCTAGCATTTCAAGGAATTAATTTCTGCCAGGTACCCATTTACATCACCTGGGTTGAGTGTGGCAAATGTAGATCAGGTTCAAATTCCACCAGAATATGGGCCCATGTGTTTAAACTACATATATATTCCTTTTTAGGGAATTTTTCAAAATAAATGAATACAATTCTGAAACTTGACAAACTTTAGACCATAAGATCATTTTTACTTGAGTAATTGCAATAATTACCTGCTCAACTAGGCATTCAAAGCTCTTCTTATTCCTATTGTAGAGGTTCCACATCAGGATCCTCTCTGCAGTGGGGTCATCCCATGTGTACAGCAGACTGCGGTGAGGCCGCACTAGGTGACGGCTTCCATTGTTCCTGCAAAAAAGATGTTTCATAGTTTTTTATCACTTTAATGATTACCATTCAATTTTCTGTCAATTTTTACTTGCCACATTGTTACATGGCAATGAGAGGTCATCTGCACTACATAATTATTAATTATGAGTAAGAGATTTAAAATCATTTGCGACTCCTAATATAACACTAAAACGCAGATTATAGACGACTGGTTTGATGGCCAAGTATACCTTTCAAAAAGCAATGTGTAAATTTAGCTTTTATGACATACATGTAGATATGCAACTCTAATGCTAATTGCTGCTCATCCAACACTTCTGCATATATGCAGGTTCAAATCCTGTCAAACCAATCGTAATTTGATATTAATCTTAGCTCTGTACAAGTTGATAGGACTTTAGAACTTCATTGATTATTGTGCCTGAGAAACATCTTTCATCAGTTTAGAAAACCAGGAAACATGCCTTAATATATGGCAACACAGTAATGCTATGTTATTCCATGCATACAATAATAAGCATAAACACACATCAAATTGTTTTCTTTTTTCAGAGGGGACTTACTTTTGATTGATTCTAAGGTTGAGGTCATCACACAGGTTATCTAACCGGACTGGTGAATGTCCTGAGGTATATGCTAGGAATGTAATAGTAGTAGGCTCTTGAACACCTCCTTCAACTTGAATTGTGATACCAGTCTGTAAAGAGATATGGTATAAGACTGGTGAGTGCCTTGAGGCAGGCCTTAAATTAATCGACGGCCATCGACGGCCAGGCCGTCGATGCCCCTATGACTGGCCGCGGTGCCCTCCCAAAAAAAGATAAATTCACGGCCAAAAAGGCCGTGCCCTTTTTTTCAAACTGGCCGACGTGCCTTTTTTTCCAACTGGACGTGCCCTTTTTTTTTTTAATTTGCGCACATAAAACCACCAATTGCGCCCATAATCATCTAAACTAGACGGCAAGGCGCAAGTGTTTTCCGTGAAAATGCGCCCATAAATTATTAGAACAGTAAAAATACACGAATCACGAACAGTCTGCCGCCCACGAGCTCTCTTCTAGCTTCGTATTTAGTGCTTTAATAAGGCGCAAGTGCCGTGAAAATGCGCCCTTTGTTATTATATAGGCAATGCGCTAGCGCACGTACGTACGTTCATGCGATCGCATGATATGCATATGGTGCATGCTGTTGACGCACGCACGTACGTACGTACAAATCGAAGGCCAGGATCAAGAAAACAAATCGTCAAATGGAGAAATAAACAAGCATTCAAATAGTCATTAGAGATCTGTCGAGGTTTGTTTGTAGGTCTAGTTTATTATTTTATCTCAAATAGAATTTAGAATTATCTTATTACTAAGTTAAGAACACCTACGATGTTCTCGATCGTAGTTACTCTCATTTTGCCACCAGCCGACCTCGCTTCAAAAAGCTACCCCGCCAGCTTCCCAAGACGAACGTTTCGAGTCCCGGTAAAATTACGCGCTGCGAATCTCCGAGGGTGCATCGGTTTCGCTGGCAAACTTCCAGCCCGACAGCTTCCCACCAAAAGTGGCGAGAGTGTGTGTGCGAGGAACGATTTTGGTTTCGTGAATGCACGTTACGCAACTGAGCTGAGCGTGTCACTTTCACCTGTCGAATGTCTATAAGGACATTTTTTCATCTTATTTCATTAGTTAGGCCTATCTAGACCTTTCTATACAACAGTTAAAAAGATAATTTCTTCAAATTTGCTCCTACTACCGAGAGAGTGGCGGAAGGTTTGTGTGTGAGGTGCGATTTTGATTTGGGATACCCGGCCCGGTAAACTTGCCAAGTCCTTCTGACTTTCGATGTTTGTGAAATTGACAATTTATTATTCATTTGCTCATCAATATTTTTAGTTACTTTAAAATACTGTTTAATGTGCAAGTTTGATGTTCTTAATCAATCTTTCCTGTTCATATTGTTAAGATTAAAAAGTTATTAAATTGATCGTTCGATCTTTTCACATTATGAAATTAACATTTGTAGACTCTCTTTGAACTTATGATTAGATAAGGGGCCTATCTGTTTTTGGAAAATTGCCCCTTGCTCTGGTAAATTCCCGTGGCAAAGGGCAACTTAAAAAAAAATTGCCCCTTGCTCCTGGCTGCTAAATCTAAGGCTTGCGGGCCGCCGCCTTGTTTGTATGTACCGTAGACCTCTATACATTCTGTGAAGAAGCTGGTGCTAAAAGTCATGGGAAATTGATCCAGCACAAGTTTCATAAAATACACATGACATCTAACAAAAATAGAATCAATTTTTTTGGCCTCATACTCGATGCCCTTTTTGTAAAATATTTTGGCCTTGATGCCCTTTTTGTAAAAATATTTTGGCCTTGGTGCCCTTAAAAATATGAGGTACTCAAGGCCAAACTGGCCTTGCCCTAAAAATGACGAAATTTAAGGCCTGTTGAGGTCATGTGGGGGGGGGGGGGCTTAGGAGCCCCCTCCCCAGGCTATGCAGTTTCAAATTAGCCCAAGCTAGATAGGGTTAATGCTGGATATACAGTTAACAACAGAATTTTGTCATACTCCTTGTAAATTTGATGCTTTTTTTCTTCTTTCCGTTACTCACAAATGAAAGATGGACTGGATGAATGTTATTGCCTTTGTTGAATACTTTTAAGATGTAAGCTTTAATATGTCACATTCTCAAGAAACATAACTTGGGACGAATATCATAAGGTATTAATTATGTATATAGTTGTTAACTGTAAGTCCTTCAACTGTAAATGTAAGCACTTACAAGATGCCAATAATATCATTGATATCAGTCATTTTCCTCGAGTCATTTTACAAACATGTTAACCTTGCACACAATGTCCCACAGTACAATAATGAACGCTTGTAACTTCTGTCATGTGACTTACCCCTCTCTCCATTCTAAGAACGGTGGTACAGGGTCTGTCAATCAGGAAAGGTCGTGAACTCAGGTTATCAGGGGTCGTTGACCTCCGCAGTATGAGCTTCATGGACTCAGAGCCGGGCCAGAATGGAAGCACCTAATAAAGTAATTCAAGTGTGATAGAAAACTAGCATCAAGTAACGCAAAGTTCCTGGTTATCATCAGGAGGGTGTTTCACAAAACTTTTTGTTATAAGCTACTGAAATCCTTGCTTCAGATTGGTTATCAGGAGATTCGTCACTGATTTTTGTCATTTGTCATTGAAAAAAGGCTTTGTAAAACGGGTCCAAGGTCTTAATGGGCTTTTAAAAGGAAATCCATCTCACCTTTGATGACCTTGATACTGACCCAAACCCAGGCTTTGACCCCGTTAGACAGCATTGGACAGCTCTTGATTAGTATTCTTGTAGATATTTCATTTCATTTCATTTTGTTTACTTCCATTTTCAACAAAATAAATAAAGTACATGGGATTGCATTGTACATAGTAAAACAATGAAACAGATATGACACTGCCCCCTTCCCATCACCTCCTCAAACCTCTTTTTCCATTCCCCAATTTCCTTCACCTTCCCCCAATATTCCTTCGCCTTCCCTATCCTTTCCAAGCCCTTCTTTATACCTCTAAAGGTTTCATATTGACCCACATTCTAGCTTTGACCCCACCCTCAGGGTAGATAGCTCTTAGTCATTCCTGTTGTGGATGACTGCACTCCCTTTCCCAGATCCCAACCTCCCTCCTCCTCCCCCCCCCCCCCAATTCCCAACCTCACTACCCTCTCCCAACCATCCCTTCCCCCTCTATAACAACACTCCCACCTCATTTCCCCTCCTAACCCACACCTCCTCTCCCTGCACTCTTGTACATGCCCCCCCCCCCTCCTCTACAATCCATTCAAACCCTCCTTACCTCTGAAGGTTTAATATTGACCCAAACCCCAGCTTTGACCCCATTTTCTGCACATTCCATCTCTCCCTGCTCCCCCTCACCCCCTCCCCCAATCATTCAAGCCCTTATTACCTCTGAGGGTTTAATATTGACCCACACCCCAGCTTTGACCCCATCCTCCGCATAGGACAGCTCCTGGTCAGACTTGTTGTGTACGAGGAAGTAGGGTGTGAGGGTGACTAGCTTGGTGAAGGGAAGGTGAGACATACGGATGTCCAGCCAAAACTATAAGCAAGCACAAAAGAAATCACAAGTACAGTAAATGAAAGAAATCATTCAACGAAAGATCAAGTACAGTATATGTTAAGAGATATTATTGATGATATAGAAAAAGATATCAAATGTCGTTGCCAATATAAATGTGTCAATGTAAACATTTTATTTGTTTTTATTCATTGAGTTATGGCTCATGGAGGATCTTAAAGTTTTTATGACAATTTTATCTAACACAAAGCTTAGCAATCAATTACTATTATCATTATCATTATTATTATTTATATACTGCGCTTTTCCCAGAGTGGCCCAAAGCGCTTACAACAAAAAATCCTACCAAAAATGAAAATGAAAACTTACAGAATCCTAAAAATATGGATTACAAAAATAGATTAATTACTAAGCTGTGTTTCAGGGCTCCAGACAATCGTAGTTTAGCACATACATGTACCTGCATGCATGTTGTTTCTTTACAGAGCGATAACTTGAAAATAAAAATCCAAGCTCTCGGTTTATCCACTGACTCTTTCATTAAATATGTACAACATGACAGGACAGGACATATGTTGAAGTACACTGTGTGCTGCCTAGATATTCAGAAGAAGCATTTTTGCTGTAAATTAGCTTGCATACAAACATCAAATTCTCAAATCTTTGACTCACCTGGTATGTTCTGTCATGATCTTCGTCCTTGCAGATGACGACCCCTGAACTTCCTACCGTGTCCAATGAGAAGGAAGATGACCAGATGGAATCAAACACTCTCAGCTTGGCCTGAAAGAAAACAATAAATACAATGTAAATGCAAAATGAACCCATTGACTCCTGAATCCATTTATTCCCATAGGCTTGATACAGAAGCCACCCGGTTCACGTAGGCAAAAGGTTGAAGTCCTATTATAATAATAGTTCACTTGAAACAACCATGAAAGACCTTCTACAATATCATATGGGCATAGAACATTTCAACATGCATTCCCTCAACTATGGAACAAACTTCCTATTGATATCAAAGAATGTTCATCTCTTGATCTATTTAAGCCTCTGCTGAAGTCTTTCCTTTTTCAAACATACTTTTGTACCATTCTTTATACAATACAACGTATTATACAGGTAGTTTCCAGATTGGATATTTATCATGCTATTATGTTCTTATTATTTTATTTCTACTTCTCTATTTACTTGTAATTTGTGCTATATAAAAACTGGGTATTATTATTATTATTGTACAGAAAAATGTATACAGTGCATGGACATGTTAATTTGTGTATACCAAATATTAATCATTTTTCTACCAAGAAATTGCAAACTCACCTTTTTCCTCTTTGAGTTTGAGAACGTAAAGAGAACTGGATCACTCAGGGAGTGCGTGCTGAAGATCTTCCTTGATCGAGATGCCTATTAGAAGAAGAAAAAAGATGCACATAAAGAAAGAAAGAATGAGATGGGTTTGAAGAAAACCTGTATGAAATAAGTTACATTGTCTCGTAAAGACAATTGTTCCACAAATATACAGTATCACAATTCTCTCCACAAGCATATGAAGAGCTTAATTCCCAAAGGAGCTAAATCCACTTTGATGAAAATTGAGTTATTGATATCAGAACATTGTTTGCTCCAATACTCGTCTTTCAACAAAAACATTTATCTAAATTCTGGGAACAATTATGAGAAAAATGCACCTTCTAAAATCACTTTTCCATAGACTGTACAAAATCTGCTAAACAATTTCTTTTTTCTCTGAAGTTACAAAAATGGATTTAGCTCCTTTTGGAATTAAACTCTTCATATAGAGATATATTTGATTAAACCAAATGGATCATTGAATTACACATGTGACCGACCCTAAGAATGACCATAATATTCAAATAAAAGAATGACATTGGCTCTCCTGGCGTATCAAAGCTCTCACCCTTATCTCAACCGGTAGCTCTGACTTGTTGACGAACCAGTACGGTGAGTAGAGGAAGATATCCCATGATCCTCCCTCGCTGGAGCTGTGGGCCCACAGCGTCAGGTACTTGCGCTGGTCAGAGTGAACCTGTTTGGTTGCCATGGTGATGGATTCTGTTGTCTTCATCTCCCTGGAGACCGGGAGATGCCCCTCCCAGTTTGCAGAGAGATACTGTTTGACCTGTCAGGAATACAACAAGAAATCGGGGATATTGTCATAAATGGTTGTGTTGCAAGTCTGTCCAATGTCACATTATTCTCAAGCAGGTCAAAAAACAACATTATCACTGTATTAAAGGCTAGTGTGTGATTTTGTCTCTTGTTTTAACAACTTCACAGCCAGGGATCATTAAACTAACAAGAATGTACATGTACAAAGCCAAAGATCTTTGGAAGTGCAAACAGTATATGATAAATATGTTAAATGCGCTACATACTTTAAGAACCAAAATATTATAAGTCTCATTATTATGTGTACATGTATATCAATACAAGCTGGATAAGGCGTTTAAAAAAAAATGTTGTATTGCCCTTTAGGTGCCAGCACATGGGTCGGTCAGCTAATAAAAAAAATAAAAAAATAAAAAAATCCCCCCCCCCCTCGATACGTTTCAGTTTTGAATGCTTTATTACATATTTTTTTATTAATTAAACATTTTTTTCTTAAAAAATGGTTTTAAAAAAGCTGACTGTATTTTGGGGTTGGTCGCAAAGGGCAAAACAACAATTTTTTAAAAGCCTAATAGGAATCTATTAAAATTAAATTATGTTACAGTCAAAACAAAAGAATGGCTTCTCTCATGTTCTTCCCCTTCCCCCTATATTCTTACCTGAATTTTCATGCTTTGGGGTTCAGACAGATCGGTGGAATATATCGCCATCTTGTCTCCTTTCAACAAGAACTTTAGACCTGTCTCCTGTGATTCAGTAAAATACACGAAGATTGAACGCTTCCACATAATGGAAACATGTACATGTACAATAATGCATGTAAAACAAGAATTTAAAGACATCTGATTGTAGGTTTCCACAGAGAATTTGACAAATATAGCTTATTGCAACATATGGAAAAATAAATTAGAAAGAAATCTGAATGAAATATCATAAAGTAACATAGTTCTACGACTTACTTCTAGGGTATAGACGACATCATAGGGGAGGTAGTTGTGTAACGTGACCGGTGGGTAGAGGTTGAGGGTGTAACAGGGGGCATCTTCTAACCCCTCTGGGCGAGGGATCTTCTCGTCTTTCCTCTTCACCTGTTGCAAAAAAATTATAAGAGAGAATTCAGGAAATAAATAAGAACATAATTGTTAACATCTTCATGAGCTAAGATGTTCTTGGCACTGGCAAAAGTTCACATATTACATGTGCATTGCTGCATACATGTTTATGTACAGTACTTCATACTTCAATGTGATGCACAAGTAGAAGCATGGACTGTTCAACTTACAAAAAATATTGAGTATAAATATCATTCTCTCTCTCCTTCAGTGTGGCAAAACAACATCCCTAGGATGATTCATCTTATAATGTACCGACTTGAACTATATGTTATGATTTCAAATTGTTAAAGTCCATCTGTACTAGTGTACAGGAGGGATAAGACCATGCTCCAAGGTCACTGACAGGTGGTTATCTCATCAAATCAGCATAAGAAAAAGAGGATCATGGGGGACCAATGTTTGCTATATAGAGGGCGCAAGTAGCTATAAGTAGTGCAGTGGGGCTTTAATACTGACCTTGAAGTAAAACGGTGGAAGCGCTCCTCTCTTGCTCGGTGGGCAGAGGTAGGACATCTCAGCAGGTTCCTGTAGATCCTTCCACAGGATGGGCTTCTCACTCACACCATACCTATGAACAACATGTTCAAGTCTGAAATCATTTTATTGATGTGAATGGGGCATGCATTTTCATTGCATGTATACAGAGTAACATATAGTGTGGTATGAGATCGCGTACATGATGTGAGTGGGGTATGCATGTAGAAATAGTGGCCAAAGCTGATGTCAGTTACTTGATGTGAACAGGACATACATATGCACTTCATGTGTTACCTTTGTACCTTTGTTTAAAGTCTGAGTTCACAATGTTTGTGTGAAAAGGGCATGCACTAAACAGCATGTGAAAAAAAGATAGCCAAATCATAGACTTTTTACTTGATGTGAAAGGGCCATGCACGCTTTTACATGAAATTGCATAGACATACATTTTCAATCCCAACAAGATCGTGAATGATAATCAAATCTAAAATAATATCACTGATGTGATCAGAGCAAGCATGAGCATGGCCAGAAAAAAAAATGGTAAAGATGAAAGTCAACTTCATGATATGAAAGAGATATGAATGTGCAAAGAATGAGAAGTTCTGAAACCAGTTAAACAGTGTAAATGAGGCATCTATCAATACTATCACCATCCTTCATCTCTTCCTCCTCCTCTTTCTTATCACCGCCATCATCATGATCATCATCCATTGTCATCATCAATCACCATCACTGTCATTATCACCGTCATCATCAATCATCATTATCATCACCATTATGATAACCATAATCATCATCATCATCATCATCATCACCACCATCATCATCATCATCAGCACCATCGCCAACACCATCATCACCATCATCAATAACCATTATCATCACCATTACCATTACCACCACCATCACCATCATCATCACCATCATCATCATCATCCCCATCAACATCACCATCATCATCGCCGTCATTATCACCATCACCACCACCATCACCATCATTACTCTCAGCACTATCACCATCAACATTTACAATCATTCCCACTATCATCATCATCCTTATCATCATCACCAAGACCATCAACATCAACATCATCATCATTACCATTATCAACATCCTCCTCCTTCTCCTCCTCTTCATCATCATCTCTATCCCTATCAATGTTGTCTTACCCCTGGTCTACTGGACATGCATAGATGCCCGCATGGTAGGCCACGATGACCGGTATGTCCATCACCTCGTCCGGCTGGATGATACCAAGACTGGTGAACTCTTCTTCATCCAACCCCGGTATGATGGCCCCATGAAGGGTCTGCAGGTCAAGCTTCTTGTAGAACAGCTGCACTGCCACCAAACAGTGGTTGGCTACCTGCTCAAGGAGACAGAGAGAGAGAGAGAGAGAGAGAGAGAGAGAGAGATTGTGAGATTCAAATGTGGCTAGAGATCATGGGTACCAAGAGTGATTTCTGACAATATTTTGTAGACTTGCAGTCAAAGACTTTCATGACACACTTCCTTTATGCAGTCTTTTACATACATGTAAACACCTTTAAGAATTTTAAACAACCATTTAATTAGCAGCAGCAGCAGCAAAAATAGCACAGCATAGCATATTTATATATTTTATATAACTTTAACATCAAGAATATGAACTACATAGTTTGATGAGACTTTTCCAAAATGATGTCCAATGCTTTTAAAGTTGATTGTGGGCATCGATGGCATGTGGAATATCATAATTTCATGAGAGAAGGAAGACAGATACAATATTATCAATTTCTGACAACTGCAATACAATGAAATGTTATTTATTCATAAGACTCCATATATTCACAAAAAAATATGTACCCCCAAAATTCTACTTAGAGCAATAACGGAATTAAATTGTATACTGAAGGATATCGTTTTGGCAGACAAACTAGACTTACCTGAAGGGGTGATCTGAGTTTGATTCTCTCTTTACCATGGCTGATCTCAACCTCACGTACAATCCCATAGATCTTGTCAGACTGTTTTTTGTGGGGAAAAAAATATATTTATTTCTCAAAATGTTAACGTCTTGGTTGAGAATATACGAAAGTATCCAAGCGCTACACATATAAAGTTCTGAAATTGTGGCATTTGATTGGCTGAGAGCAAAGTTGTCAAAGAAATTGAACATTAGTTATTGATAATGATTTCTATTAAAAAGGGCCAAGCAGTTCAAAGCAGGGACAGAAATGTCCTCTTTACTACAAGATTATTTTTTTAAAACTGCTTTCTACGATTCTCAATATGCGTAAATTGCATTTGATTATGTTACTGCACAAACTAGAATATATACATGCTTGTACAAAATGACTATCGACATTTCCCGCGAAATACATACTTACACAATGTGGAAACCATGCAGGGATTTCGGAGATATGCTTTACATTGTACAATGTTACTTTAATGTTAAATGCAATTACAAACAATAAAATGAATTATAGACAAATGTAATGATAAACTTCAATAAATTATGGTGAATTAGATATTAAGAAAATCTGCATATGATGAAAAACACTTGCAAATAATGACTGAAGGAGATGAAATATATAAATATTATCATCAAATAGAATCATTCAAAATATGAGTGAACATGTACGAAGATGAAGAAGAGTAATAATTAGAAATATGTATTTAAGTCACAGCTTGGATGAAATAATCCTCTAATCTAATCAGCTGTAATACGAACCTGATATTACTTACCTGAGGGTGAGAGGGAGAGTGGGGATAAAGATACATGTACCTCCCTGGCCATTTTTCACATATCTATATTTGTTATGGTATTTCAAGGAAAACTAGGCTATTTTTCTCAATTTTTTAATGGTAAAATATGAAAAATAAACAACAACAAAAACCTATACTTTAGGCTAAAGATTTGGAACAAAAGATACAGGAAAACTATATTCAGTGTTGATTTTTCCACTATTTTTTAAATTTGATTTTGACTAGGGCTGTGTAAACGGCATGGATGGCTGGGATCAGGAGGGGGTATTGTGGTCTAGTAGATAGGTCATAGAGTGTAGATCCCAAGGTGCAGGGTTCAAATCCTGGCCCGGCACTAATGTCTTCATCTTTATGTGCCACTCGACACCCAGGTGTATTGGGTTATTTATGAGTTATTTTGGCGACTCAGCTATAATCGGGGTAACGATGTTGAAGCATTGTAGCATGAAGGAAATGAGTGCTATACATATATATATATATATATATATATATATAAGATGCCATTATTAATATAAGAGGTATGATGGCTCAGTGGTAGAGCAGTGGTCTCCTAACCAGGGGGTACCGGGTTCGAAACCAAGTTGATGCACTAGTGCCCTTTGGTAAGGCAATAATCCTCATTACCAAGTCTCTTGGACAGGACTTAAAGCCATCAGTCCTCTGGTTGCTTACTTACATGTACAAGCAAAAACATGCATTCTTTAATAGAAATCAGGTGAAACAAACAATCAAACAAATACAGACAATTTCCTGTACATAATTTATGTACATGTAACATGCAGATGATATTACTTGCCTGAGAGTTAGAAGGAGAGAGAGGATAAAGAGAAGTGCCAGCTATAGCAGGAATCAGATTAGTCAGGGATCGGAATCCATCAACCTGGTCCAGGAGAAAATAAAGAGCAGATTTCAAAGTTGCTCATGCGTGGGTATATAGAGGGCAGCACACTGAGCCAACAGGTATTATGCTCCAGTGCGTACTAGTGTCCCTTTATGCGTACATGTACATCCGTACGGGAGCGTAATATCTGTTGGCTCTCTGTTATGTAGTGATTGCCAAGTTGCCTACTTCACGAACGACTATACCCACGCATGAACATCTTTAAGCAATGTTTGCAGAAAGTTTAATTGATTTTCTATGATGTAAAGATAGTAAATGGAGAATAATAAAAGTATAATCATGTAACTATTAACTACAAAGATTTCAAATCAACATGTTACTACTAAAAGCATTAACACTTCAATTCTGTAGTTTTCATACAAAATGAAGAAAAACAAGAATGGCTACGCAATATGAATACTGAAGAATCTTTCTAATATAGTGTATAGCCTGCAATAAATTTGCAAAATTCTTTTCAGGATTTGAAAGTACTAAATGGAGAAACAAAGAAGTAATTAATGCAATATTACATGTACATACGTTTTAAATTATATGTACCAGTATTACATACTGTCAAGTTATTAAAAGAATCTAGAAAGTTATCATGTTCTAAATGGATGAAAAGAGCATTATGAATGTTGCTACATCTGACTAATGTATGTACAATAGACCAAGTTTCATTTGGTTTTCACATTTCAGGATGTACAACTATTAAATGATGATTTAGACTGCATTCTTACAAATAATAGATTTTCAACACAAACAAATATATTAGAAAAACATACAGAGTTCAAAAGTTTGTACATGTATACACATTTAAACACAATCAACAGTCAAGTAGAGTTCAGTATTATATTGTTTAAGCAAATTAATTTTGTTATCACTCTTACTGTAGACTAACAAACAAAGTAAATACAATATATATCTGATTAGTAAATATTGATATTTACATGTATATTAAATATTGAGTAATCAATTTAAATTGAGTATATATTGATTTGTTAGTTGAACAGCAGTGCTTTTCTTTATAGTGAAAGATGTAAATGGCTTGGTGCCAATTGAAATATTACGTGCAATAATATATGTTTTTTAATTGTTGTTGTTTTGTTTGCTTTCTTTAATTACACGGAAAAAATACATACCGGATCCTACAAAATTTTGAATAGGAACTGAAATCTTCAAATTAGCAATACATTTATAGATTTAAAGAATTGTCTTCCCTAAAATTGGCATTTTAAAGCCCACATAAATTTCAATTAACGTATTTACATTTTAGATTCACAACCTTTCATGGGAATCGCGTAACAGAAAAAAATAGTGTTGCCAATTTGGCTTCGAAAATCCCCATCTACTATGTATATAACGAGCATACCTCTAGCGTGACTCCATTTTGATTGACATCCTGAGCTCCGCTGTCTGTCTCGTCTGCTGAAATGCAAGAGACATGTGACTTTTCCTTGCAGTACTTGGAAGTCCGAACCACCTCCTCTAAGTCATCAAGCCTAACAGTGATTGAGAGATAATAAGAGAGATTAATGATCATAATACAGTCAACCTGTCTATAGTGACCGCCCACGGGAAACACAAAAAGTGGTCTTTGTAGAAAGGTTCCTTTAGTACATGTTTCAATGAGAAACCATTTTCAAGGGAAACAAAACTGTGGTCTTTGTAAACAGGTGGTCACTAAAGCACGTTTGACTGTAAATGTAAATGAAAAAATGAATGTATTAAAATTTTGTGAATGAAACCACTAGCACAGTTTATACTCCAAAACCATAACAGAGATTGAGATTGAGGGATTAACAAAAGAAAGAAAAACTCAAGAGCTTTGAGTGATTTAGTTCAGGAAAGTCTGAAAGAGGTCTTGACAACTTCAAAAATTGCTCCGGTAAAACACAGGCAAACTGAATTTCATTTTGACATAACTTTACAATATATAAGCTTATATTCCGGTGCCATGCTGCCCGAACCATGGCGATACTTGGGCAGCAAGGTGCCCGAATATTGTCATATCATTATAGGGACATTCACAGACTTTGCTGTCTGAAACTATCCTGTTTCTAAATTTTGCATGTGAGCGATGCGAGTAAGGAAAAAGGCACTTTCCTAACCATGAAACATCATTTCCTAAAATACCCAAAGTTATATACATTCAAGCATCATGCGGTTTCTGATACTTTGTTTCCATGAAATTGATGTTATTCTAACGTATCTCATTATATTTTCTCATATAGTTTTTCCTTTTCCTTCATCTCTCCCCCAGCTCTTAATGTACCTACGCACTGCTAACATGAATTAAATATATGATACTTAACAATTTACACACTCATGTACGGTAATATTTGTCAGAGTGGGTTGTCCAGACAGTCCATAACTTACCCCTCTGTTTCTAAGGGATCCTCGGGATCGGGCGAGGCTGTATCAGGGGCGTCGACCCCGTGGGTCTCCTCTGGTGTGAGGGGCTGGTGGTTGGCCCTGCTGGGTGCCACCAGTCCCCCATTGATGGGTACAAGGCTGATACCCACAGACTCTGCATTCTCCTACATGGCATAATGATGAGAGGGGGAAATTTGAAAGATTCCAGAAACATGCAGCTTTCAATACACATTGACATAGACATACACACTGTACAGATTTCTTTGTAATGTATGTTATTTTGTTTTTATATGTAAATGTATGCGATACTGTATGCTATTTTATCTAAATGTTTTTTTTTATGAGGAGTGAAATAAATTTGACTATCTATCTATCTACAATTTATAAGTTGCACATGCATCATAAAACATTATGCAACTTTTATTTATTGAATTCTCTAAGAAAATGAAGTACAAGAGTAGAAAAATAAAAATACCCCTCCCAAATCATCAAAGAGACAAAGAACCCTTTATGGCTCACATTTATAAGATAACTAAATGTATATGAGAGTAAAATGACAATATGAAGTATAAATGTGCGAAAGTACAGTATACAGTATATATTGTTTTAAGTGATATTTGATGAATCATATGCAGTGTATCGTCCGTTCAGAGCCAGAAGGGCGTTATCTGTGTGTTAAAGTATATGAGTTTTAATTTTCAATTCAATTCAATTTTGTAGGAAAATAAGAATATCCCTCCCAGTTAACTCTCTTCTGACTCCCAACAGACTGCATATTGCAGACACAGGAAGAGAAGATTTTGAAGCTACATATGTACATGTACATTTGTATGCATATATACAGGACTATCAATTTACAATTGGATATTTCATTGATTGTATGTAAAGAAAATAGATAATGTATATGTACTTACAATGAAAGATGAAGGCACTAGTAGTCTTGCATTCAAACCTGTTGTGTTGACTATTTGAGTGGATGCTTCTGGTATATTCCTCATTATCTGTTAGAAAGATTTCACATCAATTTCATAATCATCATTACCACCTAAAATAAGTCCATCCCTGCTACACCTGCACATCCTCCTCCTCCTTATCATCATCCTCTACATCACCATCATCATCCTCCACATCATCAGCTTCATCATCAGTACCATCATCTTCCTCCTCCTCATCTCCATGATCATCAACATCATCATTATTCTTTTCATCATCATCCCCATCTTCATCATCATCATCATCGATATCATCACCGTCCTCTATATCACATCAACACAATCATCTTCATCACCATTATCAGCATAAGCATCATCATCATCACCCATATCATAGTCAACATCATCATCACTAAGATCGCCAGCATTTTGTCATCATATCATCATCATCATCATCCTTTTCATTATCCTCATCACATTCATTGACATACTTATCACTGTTAGAGTGCTTAAATCTTCTCAATCACCATCCCCAACCACTCAATTACTCCATCAAAAGTAGAAAACAAATCATGCATCAAACCAATAAGCCACTACAGAGATACTATCTGATCATGGACAGATAAATTTTAATTTTACAAAACCCATAGTAATAACTGCTGGATATGTGTTCATGAAAGTTGTGTAATCATCATTCATTTATGCACCGCGGTACATTCTTTTTTCAACCGGGCAAACAATAGGTAATTCATGAAGCACCTCCATCACTTTGGCATTGTTATTCTAAAATACACAAAGTGTGACGTCTCCATGTGTAAAAGATCTGTTGTTCTTATTGTTGGTTTTAATGGCGTTTTCCATCGTTGTTGGATGATTTTCGCCAGGCAATGTGAGAGGGCATAGTTTCTGGTCCTCTCTCGTATATTTGCTCTGTTGGATCGACGATAGCCTGTGGTATTGTGTTTATGAAATTTATAATGTCAGTAAATTTTCAGTAGTTATTTACTGTTGTTATTTTAAAGAATAAATTAGGAAGGAAAGGATGAAGTGGTTGAATATTAGTTGCCTTCAGTTTGTTATGTTAAGACGTTAAATTTTGATATTTAATGTGGATATTTAGGGGTCATTAGTACAATTGTATCTCCAAGGTGGGTTATTATTGTCAAGACTCTCATCATCTTGACACCCCCTATCAGTCATCCCACCAGCCTTTTATTAACCCTTACCTGTAGCTGTGGTTCTGGAACTGTACTGAAAGCCTCAGCAAGGTCCTTCACGATCCCCAGCGAGACAGGGGTCACCGTCACTTGGAGTTTGTCCTGTGAGTTCACGATGATGTAGTTGGCCATCGTCTCCACGTCGGTGACCTCTGTATCGCTATCCATTTCATCTGGAAGAAGAAATTACTTGATGTTATTTGATATGGAATACAAGAGAGAAAAAAACAGCAATAACAACAAAACAATGAAAAAAATAAAATTCTTGTTGTATTTTGCTTGGGTGAGAAAAGGATGCTTGTATTCAGGGTACACATGGCTTCATATTCTATCTGAGGGACTTGGTAATTGAGGATGCATTCCTTGCCCAAAGTTTAACCCCTCCTCTCCATCTCTCTCTCTCTCTCTCTGTTCAACTCTCTGTGAAATATTAAATATTTCACAAAACTCTTGGTTCTGAGCTAGCTAGTGAGCTATATATACCCAGTGAGTTTGAGTTCCTGGATGACGATGATGTTCCACTGTTCCAATACCTCTCTAACTTCCAGCCCCTCCATCCCCTCTTTCCCCCTCTCTCTTTCTTTCTCTTTCTCTTTCTCTCTCTCTTTCCCTTCCTCCTCTCCCCCTCTTTCTGTTTCTGTCTCTGTGTCTGTCCCACTCTGCATAACCTCAATTATTTGACAAACCTCTTGGTTCCGAGCCAGCTAGTGAGTTTGAGTTCCTTGCCGATGATGATATGCCACTATCTGACTGCCCTGTATTCACTCCTGCTGATAGAGCCAACTCCATTCTCCTACCGCCATCCGTTTCACTTCTACCTCCTACATGATAATCAATATTAAAACACATAAATTGAAATCTTTGTTTTATAATATAGTAATTAAACTATAAACATACATGTACATGTACTTGCTATCTCATTTTAAAGAAAGATACCTACACTTCCTTCAGTCAATGATCATATCAGCATGCACCTAGCAGAAGGACATCAGCACATGTTTACGCCTCAAAGCAAAAAGTTCTGATAATTTGCTCATGATTTTTTGACTGATTTGAACACTATTATTCCAACTTGTAAACATGACAGAGATTTCTCTCTTTATCAAGTAATAAAGCAAAGGAATGGAATCAAAATACCTAATTCCAGTAGTAACATGTCAAATAAGCACATATTTTGAAGACTCAATACAATAGTGTACGCCCACATTTTTATCAGAATGTCGCAACGCACGTAAGCCCTTCTGCCAGCCGCAAGATGATACTTTCCCCCTCATCACCATCTTCCCCGTACAAGGTTATCTTGGGTGGTTGCATCTTCTTCTGCTGGGCAGTCTCTCTACTCATACAATGTACAACAATGCAATTGCATTCTTTTAAAGATATTTAGATTTCACAATACAATCATGATTATTTCCCTCAAAGAATAATTCTTTTCCATGGGTGATTAAACAAACTCAATGTAATGAACACTCCCTTTATTGATTTTCAATGCGAGACATGAGATAGGTGTTAAACTATTTTCCTCTCAAGGCAGTGTTAACATGCATTAGTATACAAACCTCCAGCAGCCTCCTCCTCTTCCTCCGAATCACTCGTGAATATGTCCCTGAAGATATTCTCCACCTTGTTGAAGAATCCTCCCTCGTCTTCATCATCATCTTCGTTCTCAGACTTGCTCTCCGTCGGTGGGTTCCTGTCTTCGTCCTGAGGGCTAGCAATGTCTGAAATTCATTTCCAAATTTAAAAATTCATTTAAAATTCATAGAATGTTAATATTTCTTGTTAGACACATCCTCCATCTACAGCTTCTCCATGGATTTCTTACACAAGTTGAATTCTAAATTTAACAGCTTGGACTAAACACTATACTACATGTATGTCAGAAAACGTTTACCATAACGCTATTCATACTCTGTATCTTGAACAAAATAAATTTCAAGCCCTAAGCATACATCAACTAGGTCATGTTTTGTATAAATGTACATGTCATATTACCAATTTTACCGGTGAGTGTTTTAATATGTTAGATGCTGCTTATAAGTATCGGCTTGCATGGTGATGTAGATATACAGTAGGCTTACGGTTATACCGTGAGAGAGAGGGGGAGGATTGGGGAGTCCTGAAAAGGACTGTCAGTAATCTTTCTAGAGCATATAGTTCTAAAGAAAACTATAGCGCCGGTAGGAGAGGAGGGGTAGTAGTATCATCGTCAAGATATAAATATATTACATAGAACAATACATCAATTACATTTTAATTTACTGCATCTTCTTTGTTTTTCTTTCTTGGGCTGTTAATGAATCATTGCCTAAATGAATCACTTAAAAGAAGGTAAAAATGAATGAAACTCACCGCTGCTGAGGAAGCTACTGCTGTAATGTCCATCCCACTCCAGCTCTGTCTCACTGGTCGTGTCACTATCAGAGTCTGTCTCAGTCACCGGGTAGGAACCAGGGGTATGGACCAGCTGGATACCTCCATCGACACTGTCCCTCGGACCATCAGGGCTCCGATCACACATGCTGTAACACTTGATCGGGTGACTCTCTGCCCGGGTCAACTAACAAATAAATTCATAATGATAATACATCATTATCATTATATCATCATTGTCATTATATTATTATCATAATCATCATCAGTATCATCATTACCATCACCATCACCATCACCATCACCATCACCATCGCCATCATCATCATCACCACCACCATCATCATCAGCACCATCATATTACCTTTGCAGTGACTTCCCATGGTCTGTAATCTCCCTCTTTTGCCATGACAGGTTCAATGATGGGCTCCCACACTGAAAGCTTCTCATTGAAGGATGTCATACCCAGATGCATCTCAGCCTCGGCTCGCAACTGAAATAAGAAAGAAAAAAAAATGAATTGAATTGAACTGGTTTATTGATTTAAAAACATAGCAGCTGAAGGCTGAAACAAGTTGAAATTACTGATATAAAAGATTCTTTTAAAAATAAATCTAAATGCAATACAATGCGCGCAATGTGCACCATCAGAACTCCCTGGAGAGAATTCCTACCATATGGTCACCATGAGGGCATATGGCTATTACTAACACAAAGGGTTTCGTCATCCTACCAGAGGTCAGCCTCAGCAGGGCCACATGGTCTAGGGATTCCTCTAGCTCCATGGAGGCCTAAAACCTGGGCAGCTGAACAGTCAGTCACATGGTTCATTCACCAACAAACACAGGCAATGAGTAATTAAGCTTTCCCTCTCGCTCTCTCTTTTAGTGCGATTCTCACAGTCAGTACTTACATTGAAGGACCAGTCAATGACAGAAGCATGGAAACCACAGGTCAGCCTCAGCAGGGCCACATGGTCCAGGGATTCCTCTAGCTCCATGAAGGCCTCAAACCTGGGCAGCTGGACAGTCAGCTTCTGCCTGGGTGTGGTGGTGGGTTCAGTAGGTGGGGCAAAGTCTACCATGTTCTTCATACTCCCTGCAAGGTTGTCGAGATAAACGAATGGTGAATGTAAAAGAAAAACAACTTGTACATGTTGTTATGCTGTTCAATGATATTTGAATTTTGTGAAAGACACACATTTCCAGAGACAAAGGGCTGATATTGAACCGGATTATTACCTTTCCTTTTATGGAAGCTGTGAGAGAAGATTGGTTTAGGACCCCATAGATCCTCATGCTCATAATCTTCAAGGAGCTGTCGGCTACTGGCAGGTTTCTGTATAATGAGAAATAATTCTTTAGTTATGACACTATTCACCATTTAAAAAAAAAAGCAAATTCTAGTTTCCTAAATGCACAGGGGTACTGTGGTACATTTTGTATGATTAATGTAGAAGTCTACAAATTGAAAACAGACTTTGCAAAGTTCTGGCGTAGGCTACAGATACTGTATATACATGCAGTAGCACCTCCTTGCAAAACAGTATCCAATTCGAGGTTTCTTTCAGCTAGTATTTACATGTATGGCTATACAGTGCAAACAATGCTCATGCACATATTACAAATGGTTGAGCACCAAGTTAGACTATTTTCAGCCAGTCGCACACTTGCCTCAATACAAATGCCCTTGTTTTATATAAACAGAGCAACTGAGCAAGTTCCAAGTAAATTTGAACGGATAATATTATCACCCCAGTAATTGGATTCAATTTCACAATATTGCACGTATTTACAATAGTGCACACATACATGTAAACGTAGAAAAAGCAATGATTTTTTTTCTAACCTGTGTGACGGATGTAAGGGCCTCGGATACCCCCCTGACGACATAAACGACTCTTGGTGATACATGAAGACATACATCAGTCAGGTCAGCGGTCATCAGGTCACCCTGGTCAGGGGTAGTGACCCGGGTAAAAGTCACTGCACAAGGTTCAAGCACCTGTTTACAAAAAATACACAAGTATTAATGGTATTTTACAGATGTGTAGTCTAACAAAAAATCTTAAATTTTTCATGATACATTGTGTATATCCACATCACATTATGAACCAGTCAAATAAAATGACATTTTTCATAGTATGACAAAGACATGGTTCTACTTAATGAAATATTTTCATGGAGATATGTCATTACATGTAATAATGATGAAAAATAAATAAGGTTATGATCATTATCATAAATAAACCACTGATTCATGTATTAACACATTCAATAGCAGTTTGAGAATTAAATAATTTTAGGGGGAATTCAGTACACCAAGCACATGCATAAGATAATGACAATAATGAAACGTTGCTTATAAAACACTTTCCACCGGAGTCTCTAAGATAATGTATTTACCTGATAAGCTGTCCTCATTGCTTGGGAGTAGACGCAGGAAAAGACCTGTACTTTATCCAAGTTGGCAACTACCTGCTGTCCAGATTCACTGCTCTTATAGGCAAATTTGCCCACACTCTACAGGATGAAAGATTAAATAAGAAAGGTAAAAAACAGATAAATTTCATGCAATGAAGGATTTTATAGCATCATAATAAACACTTAAGGTAATATAAAGAATATTCAGGGTTCATAACATGTCATAAAAACTAGATTGCTAGATATTTCCCTGATACAGTATATCCTTGACTTTCCCCCAAAATAGGCTGTGGCAACTGTTCTTCTGAGTAAGATTCGGACCAACAAATCCTTCACATTAAAAAATACACAGATCATATACAGGCACTACCCTATTTTATCTATTTTTAATCAGAAAGGCAATGAACTTTAGAATAAGATTTATGAACATGAATGTCCAACACCTAGGGCTAGGGTTAGGGTTAGATTTAGATTTAGGGTTAGGATTGGAGTTAGTGTTACCTAAGAAACTTAGGTTTAAGAATTTGCTTCATTGGTGAAGCGTTAGGTAACCTAGGCACGTTTGGTCAACTTTAGTGGTGGGGTATTCTGAAGTTGCTCCAATAACTTCAAGGCAGAAAAAATATGATATAAAAACATGAGCAACATGCCTACCCTAAGGACAAGACATTGGCTATTCTGACTGGTTGGGTCATCAAACAGCACTACCTCTGGCCTCCGCAGCTGACACTTGATCTGAAGTGACCTAGAGGTCGGTTTTGCCGGGGTCGCAGCCCTGAGGTTCAAGCCCTCTGACTGACTCACGCTCTGACCGACTGGACCGCCTTGCACCGACAGTGTCCTGCAATTTGAAAGACAGCAAGGGGAAAAATATTGATCATGAACCAACGTTAAAGGCTCGTTCATATATGTGGTAAAGCTTGGCGTTTTGTTGTTGTTGTTATACATGTACATTTCTGTACTATACTGTATATCACACAGATACATGAGTATACTGTACATAGGACCTTTGTTACGAGCAGCTATAAAATGTGTTTCATCTCCTCTTGCGACTCATCAACACATAAAAATAATGGCGCAAAATCTTTGTTTCTTTTCTAATAGAAAAGATATGATTAAGATTAACATCATCTAAGCAGCAGCAAACTAATTTCAAAGGCCATTTTTTAGACTCTCCTTACAGGAACTTATGGAATGAATGACTGTCCACTGTTATGGATGGATATCCAAAGTAGCCACAATGTGTACATAAATAAAAGTAATCTCCCTAGTTATAGGTTACATCTTATTTGACTTTGACCTTGATATTTCACTCTGACGCGCTGCATACTGATAATCATGCCTTGTAATTCATGCCTCAAAGTGGTGTCACGACCAAAAGAAGGGGGAGGAGGGGTGGTATAATACGTACCTAGATGTCTGTCTGGATGTCTGTCCACCGCTGGGACTGAGCGGTGATTCCAGTTTGCTCTGGGTCAACGCACTACTCAGGAAGTTATAGATAGCCAGAAGATAGTGCACAAAGATGTTCACTCTCACACCTTCAATGATGAAGTCAACTGCAAGGGACAGAACAAGAGATAAATAGGTGTAATATGTGTGTCTAGATTTGGACATGTAGACGTACAAATTGCATAAAGAATAAAGAACAATAAATGTTTCATAAACTACTGATTTATTCTCTGTTTGAACATGTATAATTGGACATCTTTTCACTTAAAAATGTAAGTAGACAACCCATTCTATGATTATTATCAAATTCATCAGAATCGGATCTTTCGCCTAATGTACAATTACAAACACTGGTTGAAAAATGTTCTTTTTACTCAGTCGATTCAAATGTACAGTATACAACCCCATTCTCTCGAAGCTGTCATAATGTCATCTACAATGTATGACAAACTCAGTCTGACGAAGAAAGCCGGTGACATTCAAAATTACAAACAATTTCAAATTAGTTGTGTAAAAAGAAGGTTTTGACCAGTAAACTACCAATCAGATGACCCTGTTTTCAGAATTAGGATCACTACGTAGACTGCTCTGATACTGTACAATTCCTTTTTACTCACAGCAGAGATGCCAACCTTCTTCAACAAAAAAAAAGTATTCTTAAGAGCAAAAAACAGTATTTTTGGACAAAAAACAGTATTTTTGAAAAAATCTCTCAACTTAACATACAGTGTGTATCGCCCAATCGAGCAGCTTAAAAAAACCAGGCAGTACCACGTATACGTACCCCGATCGGAGCGCGACGTGCATACAATTAGACGTAGGTTGTTCGCAATGTGCGCAGTTTGGGGCCCGTATCACCGTCCTGCGTGCATCGTTTTAAGATGTAGGTGCATAATACACTTACGACACAAAGCCCATGATCAGAAATTAAGAAAAACATCGCTAAAAAAAAAGAAAAAAAAAAAAAAAGAAAAAAAAAAAAAAAAAAAAAAAAAAAAAAAAAAAAAAACGTAACAAAACATACAAAAAACGTACTGCGTACTGCCGTATTCATAGCGAAAAAATGGAACAAATACGGCAAAAACGGAACAGTTGGCATCTCTGTCACAGGTCTGTAGAGCTGGTTTTCATCCTGTGTGTAGGTGAACTCTATCATCAGGGTTACCAAGGTTTGAAGGTATCTTTATTTTTCAACATGATATAACATAATCAAATGAATATGCAATATTTACAAATTCAATAACATAATACAATTATTTAAATAGATCATTTAAGATTGATACTGTACAGTTCCCTATTACTCACAGGTTTGTAGCTGATTTTCATCCTGAGTGTAGGTGAACTCTATCATGGGGGTCACCTTGGGTGAGGGAGGGCTCCCTGGAGCAGCTGATGTGCGCAGCCGAACCTTCCTACTGCTCTTCAGGAGTAATCTTACAAAGAGAGAAATGAGAAGAAAAAAAGTAACAAAGATATTAATGAAAAGCATAATTTTTTTTTTGCATTGTAGCACCATTTTGTATTCTGTATTAACATTTATTTCCTTCTTAATGGTACAATTTGAAATACAATGTATATAAATTATATCTGTCACAATGATTTCAACATATACTGTAGAGTATACAGTAAATAATTCAGATAACAGAAAGAAGCAAGAACCTGAAAAGCATAGCTTGAGTTGGGAACGCCCATAATATAATAAGTTAACACAGTTACTGAGAGATTATTATGAAAAAACAGCAAATGGAAGAAAAACTGGGAACCATTCCATAGATCCTATGAGATGAAATAGTTTGCTAGCAGTCTTTAATGTAATATTTTGTTTGTGCAGTTACATGTACATGTATGTGAAAAGTGACTGGCATTCTTTATCATTCAATTTACATATATGTAAAATCAATCCACAATTCCACAATGTTATAAAATGTGAAGTTGATAGCTTTATCCATCAATATTAGCTGAGAAAGAAAAATTGGTGAACATATGTTTTCATTTTAACTACTTTATAAGTATGTTTTGACAAAAATGCAGTCACTAGTAATTCTACAAACCTCAACATTGAGAGATTTGTGAGTGCTCATGGAGAAAGGGATTATAAGTTCATTGTGAGTGACCTTTAATAACTGCTTTATAATGTATTAAAGATGCATGGGAGTGGGCTCTCATGGGGAATTTGACACTGCTCGGGTGTTTAACCAATAACAAGTGTTGTCAATCACCAGGATTAGCCTTCAGTTTTATGACCAACGGGCCTTGTGTAATGCTTTGACATTTTCCTCACCCTAAGACTCTCTGAGAGACTAGGGTGTATTGCCGTGTACAAGACTTGTACACCTATTAATGGTCTGGTGTCAGCGAATTATGGCCTTCTGCATATGGAAACCTAGGGCCCTCTCCCTTTACATGAGCAACATGGAAACATTGTCTTACTGTCTGATAGCAAGTGGGCTGTTGGGTCGAATGTCTTCCAGGGTGATTGTGAGTACGCTGGCTGTGACGTTCATGGCTCCTGTGCTGTACGCAGACGCTGATCCATTGACCTGATGGAGTCTGAAGCGAGACAGGCCGTTCCTCGGGTCACGGGAAGATACGCCCTTTCCACTCCTTTGCTGAAATGTTATCAGGAAAAGAGAGAGAAGTGGATACCTTGCTTATGAAACAATGATATACAGTACTGTTGAAATGGGGATTTCTATCATACAAGAGCCAGGGATGTTAAATGGTGTTTTCTTATGCTGATAGCTGGCAGGGAAAAAATTATTCAAACAATTTCGGGGCTACTTTTCAACCTTGATTGCATGAAAATAACACTCTTTATTTGTTTTGCACTGAACTCTCGCAAATTTTTTGGGGCTCTTTTATGACTTTCTGGGGCTCTTTTTGGCATTTCGGGCTACTTCGTCCAAGCCCCCATGCTTTTTTTTCCAATGGTAACTGGTACAAAGACAGAGACAAGAGAGAAGGAAAATATTAAGAGAAAGGTAGAGTGGGCAGAAGCTAGAAAAGAGATACACACAGAGAAGAGAAAGAAAGATGATAGAGATGACACAAAGAAAAGATCGAAAGAGGAAGGGTTCAAGAGAGACAGAGAAAGGGGTAAAGGGAGAGGGAGAGGAAGAGGGAGAGAAGAGATGAGTAAAATTGTGAAAATATGGGGGAGAGAAAGGAGAGGAGAGGTGAGGAGAATGGAGGAGACATGAGACAGAGATTGAGAAAGAAAACAACATGGGAAGTAAAAATTAAGAAGAGATAATTTATTATTTAAATGACAGGGGGGGGGGGGAATAGAAAAATAAAGAGAGTAGTTCTCCTACCAATCTTTGTTCATTGGTATAGAACTCGAGCTCAGCTCCATCCATCACAAACTGAATGAACATGGTCTTCCTTGGCTTGGTATCCTTGGGAGGAGTGGGTGTAGGGACCGGTGGAGTGACACTGGTACCTGGAAGATTTTCATGAACTTCTGCCTCTGTGGTAACCATGGTTTCTTGAAGAAAAAATATATCGGTAATGATGATGATGGTAAGGTACATTCTAGGCATCAAAAAAAAATATTAGAAAAGAAAATACAGATATTTAACACTTTGTACTTCAACGTTTTGATGATTTTGTGCATATAGTTATTTGAAGCTGTGAAGTTGAATTTTAGTGAAAATTAAATGGAAAATTTCAAACAAAAACCAAATATAATTGAAAATTTACTCTCCGGTTTTCAGTACTGTATGCTTGGGATATTACAAAAAGAGAGACCGTGAGAAAGAGAGAGAAAGAGAGAGAAAGAGAGAGAGAGATGAACATGATGAAGTTGGTTGGGACAATGGTACGTAATTCTTTTGACATATATCTGCTAGATATGATTCCTTTGCTCAAAGCACGGACACACACCAACAAAAATAACCATATCTTAGGCTTACTTATGCAGCATTATTTTCTAAGAAATATTATTTATTTCTCTAGATATAATGACCACGTCAAAATGTTAAATAATTTAACATTTAATAATCACATGGACATATAAATATTGAGGCTTGAGATATTTATTTTGACAACTTCATTGGTTAAGGAAAGTTGTTGCTGTTTCAATGGCGAGTACAAGAATAATAATAAATAATAAAACGGTGCTTATAAAGCGCTTACCACCAAAGTCGCTATAACAAACTAAATACAATGATAAACAATTATATATTAAACAAAACAAAAAGAAAATGGAAATAAACCTACAAAGAGAAAAGAACTTGACTCACCTTCAATCACTGCTTCTGCAACAACCCTAGGGGGCGCCATCAAATTATCGCTCAGCGTCGCCAAGATTGTCACAATGTCTTGTTCTCCAATATTGATCTGAAATAGATGGGTACATGTACATGTATTTTGTATTTAAAGCATGTCACGAAGAACAAGAACCTCCATGTGCATGTGCATAATACTAAACACACAGTATACATTTATGTAAAGTCACTATAACAATCATTATTATTATATTCTATGATGCATATATTGTACTTATGTGCTTTTTTGCATCAAAATATCTTGATATCTTTTGATAGATTATCAAAACCATATAAGCACCATATTTTTAAATTATCAATGGCAACTTGGCAAGTATAAAAAAGAAGTATAAGGATGCACAATGCTTTCCTGATCAAACGCTAAAGAAATGCATACATAAGCATTGTTTCCTCATCCCAAAAATTTACATACACTCATAATCATGTCAATATACATGTAAAGAATAGTTATACTGTTGCTCATAAAGTTGGAGTAAATTTTCCCTTCCTCATTCCATGAAATGATTGTGACACTATGATTTATTCTCTATGGATAAAGTTTGTATCTTCTCGTAGCTTTATTGATCACACATTATACTGATCATTCTTTATCGTTGATCAGTAAAGTTCTAAGAAGATATAAATCTTATCTATCAAGAATAAATCATATTTTCACAATAATTTCATGAAAATAAATAAGAAAAAAAAGTTTCCAACTATATGGGCAACAGTGTATTAAGAGTTTCATGAGAACAAGAAATTAAAAATTTCAATGTAAACATTTTTTTCTTCCAGCATGCACATATATGAAGATAAGAAGCTGAATGGAAGTGGAAATATTGAAAATAATAGCAAGAGAAATTTCATGTGAATATGTAGATGGACACCAATGCATATACCTAGTTTTAAAATAAATGTGTTTAGGGAAATTTAATTCTTATTTCATTTGTGAATACATAAAAATACATAAACAAATAAATAAAGAAATGAAGAAGCAAACAAACAATTAACTACAAAATAACTAAATGAATGGATGAATAAATAAAAGACACATAAATAAGTCAATAAATGGATGGATACATAACTGAGTTTTAGCTTAAGTACATATTAAGTACATTAACATTATTCTTAGATACTGCATGCAAGAAGATATCATAAAAACAAATCCCCAAATGAATACAAAGATAAATGAATGAATGAATGAATATTTAACTACTGAGTAAAGCAAATAATAAATAAACTAGATGGAATTTTGACTGCGCGCAGTCGAAAATGATGCCTCCGCCATAGAGCAATTTAAACAAGTTTGGAGTTTAAATCTCCAGTGGTTCTTGAGATATCATGATAACAATCTCAATGTATGGAATTTCATAAGTTGACCTCTGTGACCCTTGACCTTTGACCTACGTGCTCCAAAATCTAATCAGATTGTCTTCCTATGGTGATACACACTATCATTAAGTTTGAAGTTTAAATCTCCAGTGGTTCTTGAGATATTATGATATGGTGATACATACTATCATTAAGTTTGAAGTGAAAATTCTCCAGTGGTTCTTGAGATATTATGATAACAATCTCAATGTATGGAATTTCATAAGTTGACCTCTGTGACCCTTGACCTTTGACATACGTGCTCCAAAATCTAATCAGATCATCTTCCTATGGTGATACATACTATCCTTAAGTTTGAAGTTTAAATCTCAAATGGTTCTTGAGATATCGCGCTAACAAACTCAATACAAGGAATTTCATAAGTTGACCTCTGTGACCTGTGACCTTTGACCTACGTACTCCAAAATCTAATCAGATCGTCTTCCTATGGTGATAAATACTATTCCCGAGTCTTAAGTTTAAATCTTAAATGGTTCTTGAGATATTGTGATAACGGTCAAACGGGACGGACGTACGGACGGACAACCCGAAAACATGATGCCTCCGGCACCACCTTCGGTGGCGGAGGCATAATAAATTAATTAATTAATAAAACAATCAATCTATGAATCAATATACATTTAAATAAAGGGTTCAAGCCCTGGCATGGCACCGATGTCATTTGGCAAGACATCAATGTACCAGTGACAATTTCTGTGCAGTTAATGTCTAGCAAGAGTCAATTCCATGCTTTTACCCTGGTCTCTGGAACACTATCTTGAACTTTGACCCAAACTCCCAACCCAACCTAACTCCTGATCGCAACCTAAGGCCCGACCCTACTTCATTGACAAAATAATAAAGCCCAGAGCAAGAATCTATTGGATCAGAGTTTTAACTAAACTACATGAGTAAAGTTTCATTATCATTATGTACTTCTTGCAAGAAGCTCTCATGAAAACAAATCAAAAGTCAAACCTGCACGATTTCCAGATTTGCAGTGACTCTGAGCGGGGTCACAGCGGCTACGTTGGGGTCAACAGGTCGGCTGAGGTCAACACGGAGTTCAACGGGTTCAATGATGAGACGATAAGAGCCCACAGTCTGATTGGAGTGGATCACAGCTCTGAATATCATACAGAGGGAGAGAGATAAAAATAGGGATAATAATAATAATATCTAAGATTTATATAGCGCTGGTATACATAAACAGTTTCTAAGCGCTTTACAAAACAAATGAATATTACATTTAATCTCAATATGTAGTAAACATCAACAAGAAACATGAAATAAACATTGATCATTTTGTGTTTGTATTCATTAATATAAATTACAGAAATAAAATGATCAGTGTCAAAAAAAACTTTTTGTGTTAACCTGAACAGAATGATCTTTTTCTTTTAAACTTCTGTTGTAAGAGTTACAATGGAGATTTGTTTGGTTAAAGAGTTTTTAATTGTTGTTTACAGTCTTTACATATTATGCTTGCAATTATTGGTATGTGAAGGAGAGACAAGGCAATCATCAAGACAGAAATAGACAAAGAGTGCCAGGAAATAGAAAAACACAGACAGAGGAGATTGATAGAAAGAGAGAGAAAAAGGAGAGAGATGAGATAATGTATCATAGTAATAATAATCTTAAAACCTATGAAGATTTATATACCGGTAGAAGCAAATTAAAAAAGAAAATCTGTTCACCCATTCCCATTTTGTAAAGCACATTGAGAATTACAGTTGACTATGCATAAGTCGAACCTGTTTGGACTACAAAAATAGTTTGACTTTCAAATCTGACTTAGGAAGTGTAAATAACACATGTTTGGCATAGTTCTGTCAAAAACATTGATTTGACTTAAAAGGAAAATTTGACTTGTGCAAGTTATGAAGAGTTAAATGTGATTTGTAAATTGTAATATACTCTACAAATTGATTTCTATCCTTATTCACCTTGATATCTGCACTGAAGTATAAATAACATGTTTTGCATAGGGGAATACTTGACTGATGCTACTGCCAGTTATGTAGAGTTAGTTGTAATTTGTAATTACAGTGAAATCTGTCTATAAAGACCACTCAAGGGAGACAAGAAAAGTGGTCTTTATAAGCGGGTGATCTTTGTAGACAGGTGGTCACTAAAGCAGGTTTGACAGTGCCATGCACTTTACAAATTGATTACTAAGATCCTTATTCACCTCGATATCTGCACTGATGTGAGTCTGGTGGTGATGTACATCATGAGGGGGGCCGTCACCTTGGCCCGCCCATCCGGCGACTCGATCCCGCCCTCGGTGTCGAAGGAACTGATGATTGACAGGTTGCCCAGGTTAGCAACCAAGGCGTGGGCGGAGCTTGGCTTCTCGGGGACCAGGATGATGGGGGATCGGATCTTGATGTCCAGTCCCACCTTCACACCAGTCTGCTGTATGTCATCCACCTGAGGAGTGAAAGGAGAGTGTGTATAGTGTTAGACTGTATCAAAGCACATAACCTTCAGTGGTTGGAATTCAGTTTTTGTCCCTTTATGATGCTGTACCAAGATGCAGGCATGCTTTATGATGGAAGAGAGATGGAGATATACGTATGATGATAGAATAGTTTGGATAATTTTCGTCACCAACCTGCTCAATCTTATCTCTCCTGTCATCTACCTGAATAGTAAAGGAATAATAACATATGTATACATATTAAAACATTATTCAGGATTCAAGTGTTTACATGTGTTGAGCAAACTCTATACATACATGTATCAGCTTTAGACACAGAAACTTTTCAACTCACATTGAAAGTTTACTCAAAGATAACAAATTCGAGGTAGGTCTGAATATTAAATATGTTCCCTTCACGCTCATTAATTTAATCATTTGAATACTTAGAAGAGTTGGGGGTTATTTCATAGTATACAATTGTGACTGGTCCTCTTACACAGTCTTCAAAGGCAAAGTTAATGGGAGAATACATACATGTATATGTACGGCAACAGATACTTCACCAAAAGTCTATTCCATATGAAGTGATCATGGAGAAATAAGTTATTCCTCCCCCCCCCCCCCAAAAAAAAAAAAAAAAAAAATCTTCATCTACAGAATAATAATCAAACACGAAGACGCATGATGGCTCAGTGGTAGAGCAGTGGTCTTATTACAAGGTGGTCCCGAGTTCAAAACCAAGAGAGGCCTTAAAGCCGTCTTTCCCCTGGTTGCTTACTTACAAGCACCTATATGATTTCTTTAATAGCAGTCAGGTAAAGCAATCCTCAAACACCATCATCACAAAAAAGAATGAAAAGAGATAACTTACTGTCTTGACTGCTATGCTGGATGCCTCTTTGGCTGTATCTATAGCACCTTGGTTGAGGAATGGCTCAAAGAAAGACTAGAGACAGAGGGATATCAGTAAAAAGAGAGAAAAACATTGTCCTTTTATTAGCCACTAAACATATTACATTGCTGTTCACATTAAATTTACTACCCCAAATGTGTGTCCACCCATTCATTTTGCAGCGCACACATTTCTGTCATACCCACACTCAAGAAAGAAAGACTACCTAGAGTCCTCTTCAGGACTCCCCAATCCTCCCCCCCCCCTCTCTCACATGGTGCAAACGCAAGCCTACTGTACAAAATAAATTATTTCACAAGTGTATTATTTCATGTTGACGTAGAAAGACAGCACCATTGGACGTAGAAAGACAGCACCATTGATTTTAATCATATGCCTTAGTTTTAATTTTCATATGACCATCATATACATTCATTGATACCCCAATAAATAAATCAGCAATGGAACAGAGAAGATGTCCATGCTCATTTCAATAATAGGGTACGACAAAATTGTAATGCATTTTATCCAGTTCAAGTGCATTGTGCTCTAGAAGCCAAGTGCTCGGTATAAGTACTGCACTTTCATTTACTGTATCAAATAATATAAATTATATTCAACACCCTCAACCAGTTACTTTGAAAGTCTCGCAGCCAGAGAGTAGTGGATTTCACCACACCTGCAAACTTCGCCACAGAGGGGCAAAACATTCTAAAAATTCAGCGCCAAACATACCAAAGGGTTGATTCTGGCCCTGCCCTCTACCCTTTGGGTTGATTTTGATTATCAATTAATAAGAACTGGGGGGGGGGGGGGGTTAACAAAGATCCTAAGTCAAACTTAACTCTAAGTTGGATTTAAACATTATGGAGAGCCATTTGTAGCCTTAAAATGAAATATATTCAAAAGCAAAAATTCTAGTATTTTAAACTTTTCATAAATTTCACATCAAAAACATAAAATATCCTTGATAATAAAAAATATGAAAGACTTGAATCAACATTTCATGCCTTCTAAAATAATTTTTACAAAATATTTTCATAGATGCTAACAGTTTTCCATAAATGTTAAGTCCAACTTAGAGATAAGTTCAACTTAGGATCTTTGTGAAACACCCCCCTGAAGTGACAGAAAGTGTTCCTCACCAGTAGTTCCTTGATGTAAGGTCCGAGCAGCACTACCTGGATGCTGCCCAGCCTGACCTTGAGGCTGTAGTCCAGCTGGACATGGGTGGGTCCCGTAGAGGCCCCAGGGTCTGGGGGGATGATGGTGGGTATGGGCTGACGGGTGGGCTGCTTGAACTGCACAAACTGTGTTCAAAATGAAAGAAAATACATGTAGATACATTTAGTTATCATCCTACATCATCTAAGCCTTTTAACCATTGACTTCTTACTTTCACCTTCCCCTTTTCTTAATAAATGAGCATTTCTATTTATGCAGGCACTGGGTAAATTACTTCATTACTTTAATTTGACTTTATACATTTTCCACCATGTCAAAGAAACATACTGTGTGTAAAATAGGTAATCATTTATAAAGCATAAAAGCACAACTTAAGGTCACAAACAAATTACTGTATTGTTTTAGATTGGAAAAGTAGCCCATAGCATATGTCAACAACCTAAAATTGTAACTTTTGATACATAAAACTTGTATTTACAACCATTTTTGCAATTACTTAAACATACAGGTATTTGCCATTGATGAATTAATCAAAAATAATAAATAAAGCAGAATGAATATCTTTAAAGTAACAGCCTGCATTCCTGATAAATAACATTGCAAATATTCAGAATCACTGCTCCTTGGCAAGTCCTCTTTACTTGGTTGTCTCTCTTAAAATCTGTAAAACTTTAATTACAATAACTATTACTAAAGGCTTACCCTAACATCAATAGCAGTCTGATCCTGTAGACATATGATCTTGGGATAAGCAGTGTTAACTACTGCATCCTCAAAGGAGAAGTCTTTCAATCTGTAAAAAGATAAGTGGACAACGTTAGCAACCAAGTAGATAATGTGACTGGCACAATAACTCACTATTGTACATAGCCTTGAATAAATACACTATTTTTGGTTGTTGTATTTATTAAGATTATTTCCTTCTCAACAGTACAATATGAAACACAAATATATAAATTATATGTACATGTATGTAACAATGGTTTCAACATAGAGTATACATTCAGTAAATAATTCAGATAACAGAAGGAGACGAAAACCTGAAAAGCATAGCTTGAGGTGGTAATGCCCATACATTACAAAAATTCAAACCTGATGCTGTGTTTAGGCTTTTGTCCTAATTTGGGTTTAACAAACAAAATTAGTCTGAGGTCTCAGTTTTCCTTGTATTAAAACTGATTTCAATTCTAGATCAACTTTAACTGAATTAGAAGTACATAGATAAAAGGGAACAATTTGAAAACTCAATACCTGAAAATGAATGTACAATTGACATTCCCAAAGATACGGTTTACAGTTTAATACATTGGGTGGCACTCACTCATAATGCACTTTATCCCACTCCTTCCATTCATCCGTTGCGGGAAAAAATGGGTAAATATATTTAGATGCTGCACAAGTTCTATCATTGTCATCATCAATATCCTCCATCCTCCTTCTCCTCCTCCTCATCAACATCATCATCATCATCATCATCATCATCATCATCATCATCATCATCATCATCATCATCATCATCATCATCATCATCATCATCATCATCATCATCACACCATCATCACCACCATCACCACCACCACCATCATGTACACACCTTGCTTTCACAGTCATCCTTGTATCCTTGTCTATGAGTGAGAACTGTAGTCCCCTGATGTAGACGTTGGCCAGAGACTCATGGACATCGGTCAGCGTGATGCAGAGGTACTCCATGGTCGCCTCACCATAGAACCTTATCACCCCTCTGACCGGAGCCTTGGGTGCCTGAGGTTTGGTAGGTGGGTCCGTCTCTGCATATTATACATTTTGGAGCGATAGTGTACACATGAATTCTCTCAAAGAATGCAGATATTCAATTACATGAGGTACATATACTAGTATTAAGCTAAATGTAGTAAGCCTTTGGACACAAGTTTTGGGAACCTTTGAAATTGCAAATTTAACAAAAATATGTTGAGAACCTGATCTTTCACGTCTACTCCTAAGGTACATGTAAATCCTTTAAACACACACACACATGAGGGATGCTTCAGATATGGACGGAAGATTAAGTGTCATAAAACAAATGAAAAAGTGAAGATTAGATGACATCCCAATATAATTAACAGAAGCTATAAAGAGGAGGGGTCCAAGAAGACTTCCTTGGGGGAGATCACAAGAGAAAGGGAAAAACTTCATTAATTAAGTTAGAGAATAAGTAGCTGTAAGTAGTGCCGTGGGGCTTTAACATTCATGATCTTCCATGAATGGTATGGGATGGAACTCACCTTGCTGTGTTTCTGTACTGGGAGGGGTGGGTTCAGGGTCTGGTGCAGGTGATGTGCCAGCAACCTTCTCGGTCAGTGAGATGGAACTCAGACTACATGGACATGAGATGAATGAATAACACAATAGCTGGGTTTAAATCGAAATGTGAATACATTCAAGATTACTAACTGAACTTGGGTATACTGCTGTATTGTGCAAATTGTAATGCAAAAGAAACACGCTCTGACTGATTCCAAGGGGAAGATTATTGAAACAATGAAAAATGGTTAAAAATGCGGTTTCTTTGTAAAAATGAAATACAATCCAATTAATAGTCAATTTCGTAAATGTATTCAATGAGCTAAAGAAAGATATGTTGGATTTACTTGATGTGCACAATTATGAAATGAAAAGTGAACTTTAATAATAATGGCTAGTATATATAACATGGGTGACTGTGATTGTGTCGATATAACAATATAACTACAGAACATTGTTATTTTGGAAGTGATTCCAAACTGTTTGAATGATTAATTCATAGATCAGATGAATTTATATTAACTTTCTTTGTATTCAATGCTCTGCATTTTGACCTGTTGATTTCACTTCCTCCCCCCCCCCCTCTCTCTCTCTCTCTTATCTGCTCTATCTATCTTTCTCTCTCTTTATCTGCTATATCTATCTTTCCCTATCTCTGTATATCTGCCTGTGTTTCTTGTCATCTATGTCTTAGCTCCACTCTCTTAATTACTGCAACTCATTGTATTTCTACAAAAATCCAATTTGCCATTGTAACACTCATATTTCCAATTTAAACTGATTCTTTACGAACCTTGTAATCATCTCTGTAATGGACTTCTTGAGGAAGAGCACGGCTGTTCTGTGAAAGAGGATATTGAGAGCACTGAAGTTGATGACGACGGCCTGCTCTGTGGATCCATAGTAACCACTGAAGTCTGGGCACTTAGCATCAACCTGTACAAGTATAGTATAGTAGGATGAAATATTTAATGTGGTTGGATGAGCAAGTGTGTGCTTGTAAAATGGGAACAGGCTGGAATGCTCCCCAGTGAGTGGAGAATGTGCATACATTGTGTGCGGTTGTAATAATGTATTGGGCGCTATATAAAAGTGGAATATTGTTATCATTATTTTTGAAGTACACAAAGAAGCATAAATATAACCTGTAGATGTATTGATGTTGAAATACAACTTACAGTAGTACAGTACACTTGAAGAATTGTTCAATACCACTGTGGTTAATTTGCTACTGAAATCACAGATTTTTACAAGAAACTGTGGGACAGTGCCTTGGGCAACATTATTTTGTGGTGTTCGAGGTATACTGCTGTTAAGTGTAACAGATTCTGAAGAAAACCTTCAACAGAAAAATTCATGAAACATAAATGTAAAAATGTTGTATGTACTGTATAAAGCAATAATAAGAAAAGTCTTGTATAGTTCAGTTTCTTTAATTTTTTTCTTTTATTTGATCATTGCCTACTTTCATTTCATACTTTCTTCCACCTCTTGAACAAATTATTTGACCAGGATCCAAAGAATTTCATGGACAATTATTTCATCTATGACTGTTTAGTATTGACATGTTATTTTGTTGTAGTAACATTGGAGATTACACACCTTTCTGTACAGAACAGAAAACAGCTCTGAAGTAGCCGCTGAGCTGAGCAAATGAAGATAAGTGCCATCTGGACCTAATAAAAGAAAGAAGAAGAAAAAACATCTTACATTTTTACTTTCAAGGCCAAATGCTGTTGAAGTAGGAAAGGTACATGTTACTAATTGATTTCATGTGACAAAAAAAGAAGAAATTTAGCAATACAGTACTTAGCAACCACAAAGTCATGACTTAATCGAGTATTTTTCACAAAGTGGCCTTTAGGACTGATGTTGTACAGCTTAACACGGGCATTCCAAACTTGATTTTTGATAATGTGTGAAACAAATTTTTGCATAAATGCCTCCAGTCAACTGTAAAAAAATATTCCCCTCTCTCTCTCTCTATCTTTCTTCACTTTTCCAGTGTACCTTGCAAATGATAAATGTTCTTTTTCAAAGATTTACAGCATACTGACACACTTTAATAAATTTAAGAGTTTATAAGCATATTTAGTAGACAAGGAACCCTTACAAATCATTATCATGCAGTGTAAATCTCAATTAAAATTCCATCTCAGTTTGTTTCAAAACATTCAACATCTTGCTCACCTATATGGAACTTATCAATGACTTGGATGCCCCTCAGTCCCATATGTAGGGCCTGGCCGTAGGTACTGAGGGCCACGTCCACACACACAGAGTCTATCCTCAGGCTGAGATACTCTGACTCTCCAGTCTCGGTGGGGGAGGGAGGAGCTGGACTGGTGCTCCTATCTCCGGATGTAGCTGGGAGGGGTAGTATGCTGGTGCTCGGCTTAGAAATGGACACCACCACCTAATCAAATGGAGAAACACAAGACATGGTGAATTTTTTCGTTTGTTTTTAGTAATAAAATTTGCAACTTATATGTGCATGCTGATAAGATTGAAAATATATTTGAAGGTGTTGGGTGCTGTTATTTTGCTTGATAAATTTTTCCTCACTGAAATATAAAACAGGTACTAAACTGAAGAAATACCAACTACATGTACCTACCAAGGCATCACCCTTTGGATATTTTCTTATATACAAGTTTACTGTATTATTATTAGTAGTATTATATCAAAGGCATACAAATATAACACCAATATGCTTGGGCTTGAACATGCAGCTGTCAGGGATACCTCTGACAAGCTGGAGCCCCAAACCTTGCTGTAAAATATTTAGCCTAAAAAAGTTTGGAATTGGAAGGTGACAAGACCAGAAATCTGCCCATATGGCCTGAAAACTGGCATCCTTAAACTTTATATATTTAAAGCCAGAGTCAAAACTGCTCCTCCTAACAAAGACATATTACCTCTCTGATGACAAATCTGAGAAGTGTGTGGGTTTGGTTCGTAGCGGAATCGTTGTCGTGAAACTTTGGAACCTGTGACGAGGCTGCCCAATGTTGGATATCCTCATCGGAATGATCTGATGCTGTGTAGTATACATCACCTGTATCAAAGTAAAGGTCATATATGAACAGCGATATTAACCTTCTGAACAATTACACAATCACTACTGTACATGTACATGTACCAACATCAGGGTAGAGGTTAACTTCTTGTAGCAGATTGTTCTCATTATCAAATTAACAACATAAGAATCAACAGGGGCAACACTATAAACAGGGATGGGGGCCAACACATTCTCTCTAACCTATTCAACATTATTCTCTCAAAGCTGTCCAAATGCCATTGATGACAACCTTCATCTGAAGAAAAATGCTGTAAGCATTCAAAAGTAAAAAAGAAATTTTCAACCTGTCAGATTGATAGTTGTGTATCACAGGAATGGAATTTATGTTGGACTACAAAAAGTGATAAACACACAGAAAATAGCTTTGAGTGAGCCACATAACATGTGGTACAACAAATACCCACATACAGTGTACATGTACATGTATTTACAACTGGGTTGGAATGAAGGCTGTGCATGACACAACCACAAAGCTATCTACATGTATGAGTGGGACTACAGCTTCTGATAATAACAAAAAGAGTACATAATTACCTTTGAGTGGGGCTACAGGTGGGGTGGGTGGTTGGACAGAGGGATTATCTATATCGTCTACGTTGGTTATCTTCCTGGTCTGCAGAGTTGTACCAGCGATCCTGGTCTTCCTACTCCATAGCATGAGCCTCTTGGTGCGACGCAAGGCAGCTGCGGAGATCTCAGACTTCACTGCTTTGGGATCCTACACAAAAGAACAGAGTCGCACATTATATTGATTTTTTGTTGTTATATGTATCTGTTACTCTTGTTGTTGCTATTATTGCATTAAAAACACATCAAACAATATATTTGGTTCAAGTTTTGTAACCATCAATGTAGAATGTTCTTTTAATAGTGCAAATCAATCAATCAAAATACTTTTCTCTCCATGACTTAAATACATCACAGTTACACTTTAACTACAGTTAACAACTATTAGAATTATTCATACCTTATCAAGTTTTGTAATTGTTTAAGTATTGATTTTCCTGATTCATGTTTTTTGAGAGTGTGACATATTAAAGCTTGCATCTGAAAATATTCAAGAAAGGCCCATTTCAAACAGTTTACCTTTCATTATTAATTTACAAAAAACATAAAATTTAGAAAGGGCATGGATAGTTTAGTTCTTGTATCAAAAAAGGTATCAAGATTGCAGGGGAATGATTTGGTAACAGGAAAATATTACAAGCTTCTTTAAAATCCAGAAGGCTACTGACACTATGAGCCTCTTCAGTACAGAAGGCAATCCATGGTCCTGAAAGATTGAACTGGATAGTCCTTGATAGCAATCACAAAGCTGATTTGTTTTTGTATAAATATATCATTTATGATCAGAGTCTGTATATTAATCAAGACTTACGATAGAGGGCATTGGAGTCCTGTATGGAATGTCATTGGAACTTGCTTGTACATCTGGAAGTGGAACATTCTTGGCAAACTGTAAGAGAAAAGAACGTAAAACCAGAGTAAACATGAAGTCCTCATGTACGAATGCTGTCTAATCTTTACTCATAATAGTACAACCACTGGGAGAAAAAGAGGTCTACAGGGGTAATCATTATATATGTTCATTTTAATAGGTAGACCCTTTTTCATGATTTTCTACGAACTGTGCATAGTTTATATCTAGATTAAGAGTCAGCTGGGCACTGAATTTAAGCACACATGCAATTACGCAGCCACATTCAGACCAGAACGCGAAGAGCAAGCATCATAAACTATCATATGATGTCAAACGTATTAAGCCTTTATACAGCATCAAGTGTTATTGAAACAAGTTGTAGATATTTTCATACACGTACAGAGCTACCAAGTGTCATGCATTAGGTGTGACGTCACGCATTTCGAGGGTCTGATAAAGCTCTCACGCACGACGCGGGCGCTACATTTAAAAAAAACGCTATACCTTATACGTGTTATACCCTCACCCGTGCGGTCGCGCGCCGAGTTATGAAAATGTCACGCATTGCTGATCTTTGAACTTGGCGTCTCTGCATGTATGTACAATTTATAAGTAAGGCCTATTTCCTAATATCAGTGGAATGGTATTACCTTGACAAGAGCTTGAATCTTGGAGTCTGATATCGCAAGTTTGAGTGATGGTAGTACTGCTTCTATTTTGTGCCTGGAAGAAGAGAAAACAAGAAGAAAAAATGTGTGTGAATAACTGCATAAGAGCCTGTCTCAAAGGAGTTCACTGCCCCTGTGTTCCTTCAACCCTTCCCGCTGCCGTTGCTTCTAAATACAGTCAGAAGGTACGAGATTGTAATATTGTAAGACTACGGCAACATTACTTTTTCCAAGGAGAAATATACCAATAAATACATACCTATGGAGCAAAGCAAAATAATGTTGCATATCAAGTTCAATGTTAAAATCAAGTGGTAATGCTTGTAAGAAGTGAATACAGTAGGCTACTCACTGCGGAAGTTGTTTGTAGTCTGGCTTAGCACTGATGAAGGTGTTGACCTGAAGACTTAGACCTGGTAAGATGTGATGTCTGGACTCCCTGGCCTGAAGGGCTTCCCTCCAGTCCGCACCTGCATGTACAGAAATATATATACAGTCAAACCTGTCTATAGCGACTGCACAAGGAAAACACACAAAGTGGTCTTTGTAGAAAATAACACATGCTAAATTTCTATGACAAATTTGCTCTCAGCCAATCAGATACCACCGTTTCATAAGCTTTGTTTAATATTAAGTAGTATTTTAGAAACAAGTTTTATGATACAGGGCTCTGGTGATTTTCCCGGCAACAATTACTCCATGGATCTATTTCCTGCACTAGTCAAGTTCCTAACTTGATCTATTCTTTAATTGTAGTTTTATTTATACAGGGTAGCATTGGCATTGTAGTGTATTAAGTACATAACCAATGTTTTAAGAATGCAGTTACAGACAAAGTTATTATACCTTGCTCAACAAGTAGGACTTGTATGTCTGTGATTCTGATGACAAACTTGTCATAGAGCCTGGCTTCTATCTCAGTAGGCGTGGCGTCCTGAATGAAAAGAGATTTAAAACAATGATGGTCAAAATTATAAATGTGTATATTTATAGCTCAAAATTAAAAACATTACAATGATCAGGATTGCAGAAAACTCATCACATATTCAGTATATGGTCTTCAATATTTAATGTATACAAATACATGTAAAATGAACATAAATGGACAAATTTCAGCAATGTTTAAAGAGACAGGGTAGAAAGATAATTTTCATTCCTCATAATCATAAGAAACTTAAGAGAGTGTACAAGAATTGAATTTATTTGCAATGCATGAGTGAGAAGAAGCATATCTTTGTGTGTGCTGTTTGCATCTTTTCCATGAGTTACTTGCAGGAGTTTTCTCTTTAATAAACATTGTTATATGGATGCAGGCAAGGTATTATGTCCAGCATTATCTGTCTTTCCCCAAGGGAATCACACAACGTAAAAACTAGAAACTTTGGTGGGGATGAAAAATTCACAAATTTCATAAGTAGTTAAGATTCTTGAAAGTTTCATGCAGCAAAATGAGTGAAATTAAAGATGCAAACATTTGCAAACAGTTCCTGCCAAGAAAATCCCTCTTGTTTACAATTTGCAAATTCAACTGAAGTTTTATGACCAATCAAATACTTAAATAAATAAAGATACATATGGCAAAAGTTTCCTGGTGATATATATTCCGGTTTTTAAGTACTTACCTCAAGAGCAGTGGTGTCCTTCTGTAGCTCACTGTTAACCCTTAGACTACCAAGGTCTAGGATGAGCAAGTAGCCCCCGAGGTCCAAGGATCCATGCTCAGGAATGATGATGTTTGGTGACTTCACATCAAAGTCCACCTGGATAGTCTGAGAAATAAATGAAAGTATAACAAGTAAAGATACCCAGTCAAACATCTCTTTGAGTTAATATATATCAAACTATCATACAAGATTTTCTGGCATGTTGCTCTAAAAACTCTATATACAAATCAATCCTTTTGGAAGCTTCTAAAGATTCAGCTCCTACCCCCTCCCCCCCAAAAAAACAACAACAACAACAACAACTACTACAGGGAGCGATGTCTTGACATTTTGTTATAAGTGCAAGACACATCTGTTGCTACAGTGCATGCACGGAAGCAGTGTCGTTTCACTGGATCATACTGTACTTACTTTATGATGTTGTATTGCATAGAGAAGGTTGTTCTGGGAGGCCTTGGCAAGCTCCTGGACCCCAGCATAGGCAGCCGACTTGAGACCCGACAGATCCAAGCTATCGACCTTGAGGAAGCCAATGAGCTCCGAGACAGCATACTGGTTGTAGACTATGTCTACGGGCTCTGAGGTGATGGCAAGAGCCATGTCTGCAGGGACGGTCAACGGAGAGGTCTCAAAGTCCACACTGAAGACCTGGGACGTCATGGAGGTGTCTGGATGAAGCTTCTCGGAGGAGATCAGAGGAACTAGCTCTCGGTTGGGTAGGGCGCCCTCTACACGCATGGCATCTGTACTCAGCATCACACTGAAAGGAAGAATTGAAGTCAAATTTACTTCATATACAGTAGGCTTGTGGTTGCACCATGTGAGAGAGGGGGAGGGTTGGGGAGTCCTGGAAAGGACTCTCGGCCATCTTTCTTGAGTGTGTGTAGTCCTGAAATGGACTGTTGGTATAGTCTTGAAAAAGACTGTTGGTTATCTTTCTTAGCTTATATCGCCGGTTGGAGAGGATGGATGGAGGAGTGGCTCGAAGTTTCTAACAGGTTGACTATCCGTCGTCAGGAGTGTTATTGCATGTAACAGTGTTTCTTGCTCAAAAGGAGATAGGAAGGTTTTTGATTCTGTATTGCTACTTTCACTATGTCTTAAAAATGAATATATTTGGGTTTTGATGAAACACCACACTGTAATTGCTTTATTATCCAGTATTCTTCAATGTACCTGTCATATTATTTGCATCCTTGTTGACTGGTCTGAGCTTGTACGTTCTGCAACAGGTATTTCAGAACAGTTCCATGTCTGTTTTGCAGAGACATTGGACAACCCCATAAGTCCACTAAAATTCTTACTGAAACTTGAGATCTCTGGTACTACATCATACTCGCTGGGCAGTACTGGACAGGTCCCAGCTTGTACATTCTGTAACAAGCCTCTCTCTTTCAGTATAAATCCATGTCTATTCTCAATCGACAAAACCAATAAGAAACACTACAGAAGCCACAGAGCACAATTTACTCACTGGACAGCATTGTTGACTGGTCTAAGTTGTACTCCAGCCTGTACATTCTGTAGCAAGCCTCTCAGTATGGTTCCATGTCTGTTCTTCATAGACATTGCACAATCCCACAAAACCCCACCAGAAACCCAACTGAAATCTAAGAGTAGAATAAACTTACTGGCTGGTTTGAATACCAACTTGTACATTCTATAGCAAGCCTCTTATGGTGCCATTATTACACATAATGTACAACCACAGAGAAACCCCAATAAAACAATATACTCACTGGACAGCATTGTTGACGGGTCTAAGTTGTACTCCAGCCTGTACATTCTGTAACAAGCCTCTGAGTATGGTTCCATTCCTGTTCTTCAAGGCCACAGTGCAGCGGTCAAGGAGGAAGCTCACTTTGGTTCTCACATACTGAACAAAAGACACAAGTACATAAGTTTATAATAATAATAATAATAATAATAATAATTGGATTTATATAGTACCTTTTCAAGAGGATACAATGCGCTGTCTCTTAGTCTATCAACAATTTATTAAAGACGACTTGTACAGGTATGTTTTCAGTTGTTTTTTGAAGAAATCTAGTGAATTACTATTTCTTAAGAATGAGAGGAGTTTGTTCCAGAGACATGGGGCTAAGGACTGAAAGGATTTGTGCCAGGCTTTATACAAAAACAGTAACATCTCAAAGTGGAGATCAAAGGTGTTTAAGTTTCATTTACAGTAAATGACAACAACAAAATTCTAAAATATGAAGAGGTCTACATAAAATCAGGCAATTTAATGAAAAAAATATGACTTTAATAGCAGTTTAAGAGATCATAATAATAATAATAACTAGATGGAATTCGACTGCGCGCAGTCGAAAATGATGCCTCCGTTATAGAGCAATTTTACAAACCAAAACAGAAAAAAAAAATTGAATTCACGTTCAATGGTAATCCATTGACAGGTTCTCAGAATATTGTGATTACAAGCAATTTCTCATATACATATATGACCCTTTGATCTTTGACCTCATGACCATAAAATCTACTCAGTTCATTGGCTCTGCAAGATGTTCTGAGTTAAATAGTAATCCATCTGTCAGTTCTAATGAGAATGCGTTCACAAGCTATTTTTGCATACATAATGGGCCCATGACCTTTGACCTTTGACCTTATGAACCAAGAATCTACTCAGTTCATTGGCTCTGCAAGTAACAAACATGACCTAATTTTGGCATGAATCCATCAATCGGTTCTTGAGATAACGCGATCACAAGCTGTTTTTGCATTCATAATGTGCGCTGTGGCCTTTGACCTTTGACCTACGTGCTCCAAAATCTAATCAGATTGTCTTCCTATGGTGATACACACTATCATTAAGTTTGAAGTTTTTACATCTCCAGTGGTTCTTGAGATATCATGATAACAATCTCAATGTATGGAATTTCATAAGTTGACCTCTGTGACCCTTGACCTTTGACCTACGTGCTCCAAAATCCAATCAGATTGTTTTCCTATAGTGATACACACTATCACTAAGTTTGAAGTTTAAATCTCCAGTGGTTCTTGAGATATCATGATAACAATCTCAATGTATGGAATTTCATAAGTTGACCTCTGTGACCCTTGACCTTTGACATACGTGCTCCAAAATCTAATCAGATTGTTTTCCTATAGTGATACACACTATCACTAAGTTTGAAGTTTAAATCTCCAGTGGTTCTTGAGATATCATGATAACAATCTCAATGTATGGAATTTCATAAGTTGACCTCTGTGACCCTTGACCTTTGACACACGTGCTCCAAAATCTAATCAGATCGTCTTCCTATGGTGATACATACTATCCTTAAGTTTGAAGTTTAAATCTCAAATGGTTCTTGAGATATCGCGCTAACAAACTCAATACAAGGAATTTCATAAGTTGACCTCTGTGACCTGTGACCTTTGACCTACGTACTCCAAAATCTAATCAGATCGTCTTCCTATGGTGATAAATACTATTCCCGAGTCTTAAGTTTAAATCTTAAATGGTTCTTGAGATATTGTGATAACGGTCAAACGGGACGGACGTACGGACGGACGTACGGACGGACGGACGGACGTACGGACGGACGGACGTACGGACGGACAACCCGAAAACATGATGCCTCCGGCACCACCTTCGGTGGCGGAGGCATAATAATAATAATAATAATAATCTTTTAAAGTCCACTCCAAATTTTTTATTTAAACCGAAAATGAAAATTCTTTTTGCCCAATTGATCATGAGCCCGGCAGCCACTGAGCAGCGCCAGATGGACGTTGCTCTATCCCTTATTGTTGAACGCCAAACAAGGTAGCAGCAACTCCCATCTTTTAACGTCTTTTGGTATGACGCGGCCGGGGTTCGAACCCACGACCTCACGTTTGTGAAGCGGACGCTCTACTGACTGAGCCAACACTCCGGTATACATGTACATCATATCATATCCAGTGGGTGTAGCAAAAGAGGAAATCACTACAGTCACTGAATATATTTCAGTCATCTACAAGTAATTTTTGTTCTTAACAAAAATCTTTAACTGCACAAGGTGCTGCATCAAGTTCAGAACACAACAAGTTTCTCACAAATTCTCCATTGAATTTGTCTAGCACTTCACATCAGAGTATGCTCATTCAGATATTTAGCTTTCCATACATACTACATGTATATGGGCAAACCTTGTTGGTTTTGCAATAAAAACTTGAATCAGTCTGATGAAGAAATATGAAAGCAAAAAGCAGGAAAACTTCTAGCCATATAAATGTATTGATAAAATGACTGACCTGTACAGGAATAGGGCTACCATCCACACTGCTACCCTCTCTTGACTCGTTATAACCTATCCCAGCATACACCTTGGCCTTCTCTTCATCTGTCAGCTGAGACCATAAATCTGTAGACGTAAATAAGAAGCTAGATATCATATTTCATCCATTTTCAATCATCTTCCATCTATATAACAGAATTATTTTGTTATTAAATATGCATACAGTAGCTGAAAGCCTTAGCTGAAAGCCATGCCAATTATTTGTACTCAAGAATTAGTAACATAATATAATAAAGTGCCCTATACAATAAGGGAATGTTCTAATTGTTATTCTATTGCATCTGATAACAAAGCTCACTTTATTAAAGCTATTGGACATAACATATGTTGCAACAAATGAAAATGAAAATGATACCAAAATTATCTGTGACATTGCCTTCCTATATTGTTTTCTTCTTCCTTGGAAACTCACTCTCCCTTTCTCTCTAACTCTCTTTTTCTGAATCATGCTTAATTCAAACTGACCTTCATCATCGTCCTCTTCCTCCTCCTCCTCCTCATCTCCGTAACCTAGGATACGCATGAACCAGTTGGTGTCCTCTGCTTTCTTTTTTCTCCTTGCTCTGTCTCTCTCTGGTTTCTCCTTGATGAACTACAGTGTTTGCGGAAAAGTGATTCAGCATAAAGATAGGAGACATATTTTAAAGGTTCGCAATATTAATTTTAAAAAGTTCAGTACTAAGTTGCCCATTTGGATATGTCTGTTCGTCTGAAAAGGAATATTCCTATCTTGACTTTTTTACAATCATTTAAATAGTTCAACTAGGTCCATTGATTTCAATTCAGCACACATGCAAAAGGATGATATTTCAGTCAACAGCCAACATGATGTGCATTCTCTCCCCATGCTCGTCAAACATTACTTTAATTTCACTCTTTAATTGTTTATGATATTGCTACATACATAGTGTTCAAGGCAGATGATTTGTTTTGAGGTTATAACTTCATTCTCCTACAGCATCTATTACATGCTAAAGTGAGTCAAACTGAAAGACACAGTAGTACAGATTTGTCTATCACTCTCATGTCATTTATTGTCATTGAGTATTAAGACGAGAGTCCAGATGCTTCTAACACCATTCAATTTCATTGTGGCACATTTGTCGGCTCAGATCTGCTACTGCTAATTTCATTTCTCGAGTCATCAGGTCTTGTCTAATTTTCAGACCTTTCATTTTACTATCAGTATTGCTTTATTGTTTGTTCATATACATGAAGTTTCATAATTATTTAAACAAAATTATGGCATGAAGAGGTTGCCACTTGGCTCTCCAGAAATCAGGGTACTTACTCTGCCCGCTTAGACATGGGGAGTGTTTTACAAAGACTAAGATCGACTTAAGGTTGGACTTAACTATGGCAGACCATTATGATCTTTAGATAATATATTTTCCTTCAATAATGAATTATCAAACAATGTAAACTCTGTAGATTTGTGACCATGATTTGTACGTCACTTGAGAGACCAATGCCAGTATAAAATGGTGAGAGCAAACAGTAGCACGAATGGCCTGCCATAGTTAAGTCCAACTTAAAGTTGATCTTAGTCTTTGTGGAACACTCCCCATGACTTGTTAAACTTAATTTGCTCTTTTGACAGCAAGTCAATGACAGCCAGCTGTTTTTTACACTACCGTAAATCTCCGTGTATAAGGCGCACTTTTTTTTTTTTTTTTAATTTCGATTTATGGCGCTATGCCTGGCAGTGTCGCATATGTTTTCTATGTTTTCTATGTTTTCTATAACAAATGGTGTACCACAAGGTTCTATCCTAGGTACTCCATTATTAGAAAGATAGAGGATGCTATTCATATCATGCATGACTATTGATGTTTGGCATAGAACACAGAGCTTCTGCTAGGTGATGTGAAGAGGCTGGTGTGGGACACTTGGTATCATGAAGCCTTAGACTGTTGTTACTATTATTTGCACCTCGATGTAAAATGAAGGTCCTTCCCCGCGTGGGTTTTCGGCAACAAAACAACAACAAAACAAAAAACGATTTTTTTTTTTTTTTTTTTTTTTTTTTTTTTTTTTTTTTTTTGGTTGTTGCCCCCAAAATAGGGGTGCGCCTTATACACAGGTGCGCCTTATACACGGAGATTTACGGTATATTCATACAATATTTATTGAAAGATCTTTACCGTCAAAAATTTTGTATGAATATATCACACTTCCATTATTTACCTCTGTCTTGGCCCTCTCTCTCCCTGCGATGATGTTGGTCAGGTCTAGTCTATCCTCCAGACCCTTGATCTTCCTGTCGAGAGCCTCTGTGCTCTGCTTGGCTTCCTGCAGGACCAGCTTCTGCTTGTACTTCTGCCAGTAGGTGTTGTAGACCTCGAGGTGGGCCTCTATCCTGGGGGCGGACCAGGGACGGATGTGCTCCTCCAAGATGGCCTTGTATGCATAGTGCCACCTGGGGTACAGAGTGCATGGGAAAGAGAGAGGGAGGGAGGGAGAGAGGGAGGGAAGAGAGAGAGAGAGGGAGAGATAGCGAAGAAGAGAGAGCGAGGGAGAGAGAGAGAGGGAAGAAAGAGGGGGAGAGAGAGAGGGATGGAGAGGAGAGCAGAGAGAGAGAGAGTGAGGGGGAGAGACAGAGACATAGGGAAAGTGGTAGAGAGATATGGAGAGTGGCAGAGAGCAAGAAAGATGGAATGCCAGAGGGTTAAAGTAAAAATAAAACACACAAAGACTGATAATTTATTTGTTCTTAATTTTCATGGTGCAATTTCGTATCCTTATATTAAAGGCATTACACTTGATAAATCTCCATGTATCATCATCATCATCATCAACATCATCAGGATCATTATTATACTCATCATCACCACCATTATTATCAGTTTACATGTACATATACATGGACACTGCATGAAAACTGAACTTATTTGTTCATCTGCACAACTGAATAAATTGCTACTTAGACAAACTAATATTAATAATTCATTGCAATTCTTGCATCAATTACAAAAAAAATCATTAAAAAAAAAATCAAAGCTGATAGGACAAAGAAAGAAGAGGAACTGACAAAAATGATTCCCCAGGGGGTCCAACACTGACCATTTCTTTGTGTTCCCTTGGACGTGGACACCTGGCCTGTACTTCCTGTATCTCTCGTTGACCGCCAGCAGCTGCATGGACTGGGCGAGGTCAATGATGCAGATGTACTGCGGCCGTGTCAAGGAGATGGTCAAAGCGGAGGTGAGAATGTCCAGGATGATCTGTGGGTTGGTGTAATCCGTCGGAGGGTCGGACTTGTCGAAGGTCAGGCGGGCTGTGGTGGTCACTGGCTCAACAACTGAGAATGAAAATAGCAATGATGATTTTGTCAGTTTTATTTCCATATCGCTGATAGTGGTTACTACACAAACCATGTACAGAGCAAGAAGAACAATAATGTAATTCGCATCATTTACATGTAACACAAGGATAAATCCTTCTGGGTCTATACAACAAACAAGGCAGAAATTTAGAGGAAAATCTTAGATGACAATTGCAGTGATTTTTTATACATCTACTACAATTAAGCAAATATCATATAAATAGCAACAATAAAACAAACAGCAAAAGAATCAAAATCACTGCATATTTTATTTTTGTGACATGGAATCAATATCTTTAAAAATCACAAACAGCTGTATGGTAGTAAAAATTAATTTAAAAAGTAAAATCTTGATCATCTTTGAACAAACATCAAGTTAGATGCTGCTTCTAAGTATCGGCTTGCATGGTGATGTAGATATACAGTAGGCTTGCGGTTGTACCGATAACCAACAGTCTTTTTCAAGACCACACCAACAGTTCTTTTCAGGACTATACACACTCAAGGAAGAAAGATTACTGAGAGACCTTTTTAGGACTTTTCAATCCTCCCCTTCTCTCACATGGTGCAACCGCAAGCCTACTGTATAAACATCAAGTTTGTTTTGAATTCCTATGTCTTGTAGAAATTAATGATCATGTGGCTGTTGGGGAGGACTTTTTCCATGTGACTCACCGAAATTGAAGGGTTGACCTTTGACCTGGTGGCTGAGGATGGAGCTCTTGAGGATCTCTTTCCATTGTCCACTCCTGACATAACCAGAGACTGGATGCTCCACCGATGTGTTCCAGTAGGCAGAAAACCCAATGGCTTCCAACAGCTGAAAGAGATTAAAGGGCGACAATGTGAGAAATGTAGAGAAATGTTTATAAAGTGACTGGACATTAGGGAAAAATTATAATATAAATATCATACTACTGTCAAACCTGCTTTAGTAACTACCTGTTAACAAAGACATATTTTGTTTCCCTTGAAAATGGTTTCTCATTGAAACATGTACTATTAAAGGAACTTGTACATAAAGACCACCTGTCTATAAAAGCCTTTCCCTTGCATGGTCTTTATTGACAGGTTTCACTGTACCACTAAAATATACATTAGAGTCTAAGGACTTGCTTCAGATGTTGGGCCACTGATTTGAAAACTTCACTTACAATATGTAATTACATCATGTGATATGTGTGTGTACAAAAGTCAACAGGAAACAGAAAGGAAAGCCAATAATCACATGGAGAAGAATGATGGACTACCTATTTACAGCAGCCTGGATCAAGCAAATCGAAAGCCAAAGAAAGAACGCAGTGGAGGAAACTCGGGGGTTGCTTCCTCTCCAGGGCCCCCGTCTCACAAAGAGTTGATATCAATTGCACCTTATTTGCGATTGATATCAATCGCAACTATGTAAATAAGAGATAGGAGACTGCAAATTTGCGATTGATTGGAGGAATTTCGATTGATTTAGATCAATCGAAACTCTTTGTAAGACGGCCGGGGCCCAGAACAGGATGATCCAAGGTCTAAAGTCTTAGGTTGGTACAAATGAAAACTGTTTTGACTATTTTACTCATACAGATATGTACAGGACAGTTCTCCCTGTATGACATCACATGTTGTGACCTAAGATTCCAATAGATCACAAATATAATAGTTGATCGCAACTTCTGAAAATGGCAAAATTCACTTATTCTTTGTCCAATTCTTTTCTCATTTTCTTTTTTTCTGCCCAGTCCAACTTTCTCTGATCTTCAAAGGGATGTTTCCTGTATGAAAGTCAAAGTTTTCTTACCTTCCTCATGATGGTGGCTGAAGCATCCAGCTGAGTGGGTTCCCATTCTTCATCGGTTGTCTGATAATGGAAAGAAAAAATAGAAAAAACATAGAAAGATAAAATCTTCAATTCATTGAATGAATCACAATTCAATCAATTGCAAGGGTTAGAAAAAGAGAAATGTACACATCTACTTTGCAACTTTCAATGACAATGTCTCATGATAACCAAAATATTTTAGGCAGAGAGACAACTTACAAGACAAATAGAGCAAATAGTTGTTTTCTTTACAAAAATCAAATTTGAAGAAAATGATATCTGTCTAAAGTCATGTGTTTTGGGGATATTCGGTAGACAAAAACAAAGAAACAGATGACATCATCTCTAGAAATGGAAAAGTACTCTTAGAGTCAGAATTGCCTTGTCTATAACATTTGAAAATAAACTAGATCATGTTATTAAATCCAAGAGAATAAGAAGAAGGAAAAGAAGGAGAAGAAAATGATAAGGAATTAGAAAGAAAGAATCAGTGAGAGATGAAACAAACATGTTCCTGAAGTAGTACGGAAAATTAGAAGGACATGTACACTGTATGATGTAAAGTTGTAATTTCAATGATTAGAAAAAAAGCAATTGTATGTTTTCAATCCTCTATCAATGGAAGATTTCAAAAAAAAAATTAAACTTTCTATAAATTTTCATTTCAATCACCTGAATTGTGCGGCAACAATTCAAATCTAAAAAATGTCCGCTGCTAGATGACGACACTAAATTATGCATGATCAAATCTTAAAAACATTTCATATACTCAATAAAAAGAAATATGATATTGTATTTTTTTAAAGGATTTTGCTTAAATGTACCAGCAGCAATCCTTATGCCAAGGCACCAATACAAAATGATTAAGAGACAATGATCGTGTTGGTGGACATATGATACGTGACATGTACATTATTATTTATGGCCGGGGGCCAGGTGCTGCATAATGGCATAACCTTAATAGCTAAGGTGATATATATTTACATGTATGCTTTAACCACTGACCCCGAATCTTGTACAACACAGAGATTGTAAACAAAAACAACAGATATATGAGATACATTGTCAGTGTTAAAAACAGTCTCTTTAAATAATCAAAACACTAAAACTACCATGTCACATTTGAACCAAGCCCATAGGAAAGAAATGAGCCTGCCGCATACTCCTGCGGCAGACTTGCCGCAGATCTGCAGCAGACCTGCCGCAGACAGTCATCTTTTTCACATGCAAATTAGTTTTGCCGCAGACTTGCTGCAGACTTGCCGCATACTCTTTCAGTATGATGAAGAGTCTGCGGCAGGTCTGCCGCAGACTTGCTGCAGACCTGCCGCACACTCTTTCAGTATGATGAGGAGTCTGCGGCAGGTCTGCCGCAGACTTGCCGCATACTCATTCAGTATGATGAAGAGTCTGCAGCAGGTCTGCCGCAGACTTGCTGCAGACTTGCCGCATACTCTTCATCAGTATGCGGCAAGTCTGCGGCAAGTCTGCGGCAAAACTAATTTGCATGTGAAAAAGATGACTGTCTGCGGCAGGTCTGCCGCAGACTTGCTGCAGACCTGCCGCATACTCTTTCAGTATGATGAAGAGTCTGCGGCAGGTCTGCCGCAGACTGCCGCAGACTTGCTGCAGACTTGCCGCAGACTTGCCGCATACTCTTTCAGTATGATGAAGAGTCTGCGGCAGGTCTGCCGCAGACTCTTCGTCATGAATATTCATATCTCATATAGACCTGCTGCAGACCTGCCGCATACTCTTTCATATCCAGTACGTGGCAATAAAGTATGCATGTAGAAGAACCAGTGATAAACTGATTGATACTTCATAATCGATATTGGCAATATCGATATTACCAATTAGGTAATACCAATAGATATCGATATTACCAATTAGGTATATTCTATTCTCAATTGTATTAACTTCATCACATTGATCATTTGAAGTGTATTCAAGAGTAACATTTAAAGTGACACAGGCTCGTACACATATATATACTAAATATGTATATTGTTTCTTGGTTAGTAATCATAGTTTCTTCGTTAGTAATCAATATATCTATTGCTTAAACGTGAATGTAATTGTAACATGATCAGACAAAATAATCTATTGGTTAATAATGGCAAAAGGAAAATAGAAATCACAAAAATGATGTGCATTGTCTTAATTTGCTTAACAAATCATGATAAATGTATTGTTCTGTCACACGTGTAAAGTAATAATGAATATGCATGAGATGATTGGTTTCAATTGGCCCTATTAGACTTTAATGGGATTTCCTGTGGCAGACCTGCCGCAGACTGTTCCTGTGGTGTACTGGTATGCGGCAAGTCTGGAGCAAAGTTTCGCCCTGCCGCAGATCTGCCGCAGACTGTTCCTGTGGCATACTAGTATGCGGCAAGTCTGGAGCAAAGTTTCATCCTGCCGCAGATCTGCCGCAGACTGTTCCTGTGGCATACTAGTATGCGGCAAGTCTGCAGCAAAATTTCATCCTGCCGCAGATCTGCCGCAGACTGTTCCTGTGGCATACTAGTATGCGGCAAGTCTGGAGCAAAGTTTCATCCTGCCGCAGATCTGCCGCAGACTGTTCCTGTGGCATACTAGTATGCGGCAAGTCTGCAGCAAAATTTCATCCTGCCGCAGATCTGCCGCAGACTGTTCCTGTGGCATACTAGTATGCGGCAAGTCTGGAGCAAAGTTTCATCCTGCCGCAGACTGTTTCTGTGGCATACTAGTATGCGGCAAGTCTGCAGCAAAATTTCATCCTGCCGCAGATCTGCCGCAGACTGTTCCTGTGGCATACTGGTATGCGGCAAGTCTGCAGCAAAATTTCTTTCTGCCGCATACTTCGGCATACTCTTTGCCGCAGACTAAAGGTCTGCGGCAGGTCTGCGGCAGATCTGCGGCAGGTCTGCGGCAGGTCTGCGGCATACTTTTCACTTTCCTATGGGAAGATAATCCTATATATTTTAGAGAAAGAAAACAAAAAACACAATTGATGTACGTCAGTATTTGTCCGTCATGTGTACTGAAGAATATACATAATAAAAGTTTACATGAACAGAGGCATATGCTGTAATCCTTTAAATCCACTTGCAAATAACTCCCCATCTGTGGTATAGTTGCAATGCTTATTACGCATAATCTTGAATTACCTTTTGAGCCACTCTGTCTGCCCTTTCTAATATGCTACTCATGCAGAGCAGTATGGTATTTGTAGGCTGCCTAGATATTTTCCTTTTCACCACCAAGTCTTATGTAATGTTTAATCCTCCCCTGAAATCAAACTAAGAAGCTCCTCAAAAGTCAATATGATCACTATATTGAATACACAAACACTACTACATACATGTACAATGCACAATAATTTCGGCAATATAGAATTATGTAAATGTAGGCTTTCATGTATAGAACAAAAGCAAAAGAAATACTACTACTACTTCTGTAATATGTGATCTTATACATTGACTCAATGCTACATGCTATACACACAGTTAATGTACACTGTGGTGTATGGGCTCTTCTATACACAATATAACCAGTCATGCTGGATTGCAACTTCACTCTGATGTTTCTCTATGTGTCTTCATTTGAGTACTAACCATACAGCTAAACAACCCCACATTATATGGTGGCAGCGATATAGAACCTACTGGACAATATTTGTGAACTTTGCATCATTTTGGAGAGATTTTGGAGGCCATCTTATTGACACACTGTCATTGGATCAACAGGTGCTCCTTTCTACAGTCCCATATGATGGTTTTACTGTAAGTAAAATGTGCATTGACATTTGCATTACTATTGGAGTTTGAGTAGCTGGTATGAACTATGAATGAATCATTTACACCCCGCATGAATTGGGAAGACCCCGACAGAGCCAATGCTGTTAAGATTTTTCATCAGCAGTGTGACTTATACTTCTCAGTCAAGAATGTTGCGATTGGTAAGCAAGTGGATCATGTTCTTTTATTCACTGGTGCCACGGGTATCAAGCTTTACAACTCGTGGGGTCTGGAAGGTGAAGATAGGAAGAATCCAACTGTTGTTTGGGAGAAGTTCGAGACACAGCTGAGGCCAAGGGCAAATTTCCGTGTAGCTAGGCTATACCTTCAGAAATATGTGCAGAAAGAGAGGGAAAGTGCAGATGACTATATCTCGCGTCTGAAGCTGCAGGCATATGACTGTGAATTTCGTGATGACACTGAGCTCCAAGAACGCATCATTGAGCAGTTCATCACAGGCACTAGATATCCTGAGCTCCAGAAAGATCTTCTAGGGAAGAACAAGTCCCTCACTCTTACACAGATGCTTGAGCTGAGTAGAACATTTGAAGCATCGCAGATGCACATGGCTCAACTAGCGCAAGTACAGACACATATTCAGCCTGCATCGATTGATGTAGTTCGTCGGAAGACTAACACTAGTAACAAGTGTCCTAATTGTGGTGGTAATCATGCTCGCAGTCCACGGGAAGCATGTCCGGCTTATGGCACCAAGTGTAACAGCTGTGGAAAGTTGAATCACTGGAGGAGTGTTTGTCGGTCTCCAGCTCCAAGTACACAGCGGTCTGGGAGATCTCCAGCTTCAAGTACCCAGAAGTGGAAGCAGAAAGCTAAATACGCTACGCCACATCGTGGAGGCAAGCAGGTGCAATCCATCCACAGCACCAGCAATATTGAGGCAGCAGCAGCGGTCCCACTACTGAATGACGCAGTGGATGTCCTGTCATTCAATCGAATTATTGTGTCAGGTATCAGTGCTGTAGAGGTGGATGACAGGGACGACCTAACAATAGCGTACGTGGAAGTCAGACGGGATGAGAGAACCATAATGAAACTGCGTTCGAAGGTTGACTCCGGTGCGGAGGGCAACACACTTCCTCTTCGGATGTTTCGTGGGATGTATCCTGGCCATCTCACTAAGGATGGAGTTCCTCACCCTCAATCAGTGCATAATTCAAGTGCACGGTTGTTCGCTTACAACGAAACACCAGTGATGCACTTCGGTTCGGTTCGGCTGCCCTGTCGTTTCAACAACTCAACTTGGCTTTATGCTACATTCTACATCGTTGAGTCCAGGGGTCCAGCGATTATCGGATGTGACACAGGCTTGAAACTGAAGCTGCTTACTCTACACACACGCATCAACGAGATCAAGCATTCAGCACAGATAAGCTCTACTGATGACCTAGTAAGGCAGTATCCAGACCAGTTTGACAAAATTGGCAACTTCCCAGGAGAATATCATATTGTTCTTGATCCAGACGTTCAGCCTGTTGTCCATGCTCCTAGACGGTGCCCAATCCACCTACGAGATGAACTGAAGCGTGAGTTTGATGACATGGAAGGTAATGGCGTGATCACTAAAGTCATTGAGCCTTCAGCATGGGTCAGCAGCATCGCTGTTTCAAGGAAGTCGAATGGCAAACTCCGTGTCTGCTTGGATCCCAAGGATCTCAACCGAGCTATTCGACGTTGCCATTATCGCACTATCACGACAGATGAGGTGATACACAAGCTATCAGGTGCTCGACACTTCAGCAAACTCGATGCCAAGAACGGTTATTGGTCTATCAAGCTCGACCATGACAGTTCACTTCTGACTACCTTCAACAGTCCCTTTGGACGGTACAGATATCTCAGGATGCCTTTCGGTCTAGCAATGTCTCAGGATGTATTCCAGCAGCGAATGGACGAAATCCTCGAAGGTTGCCCCGGCACAATAGGGATCGCTGACGATATTGTTGTGTTCGGCAAGAGTGAAGCAGAGCACGATCAGAATCTGCACCACCTCATGTCCAAAGCTGTGAAGTACGGTCTGCAGTTCAACAGTGGCAAGTGCAGCATAAAGGTCAACCAGATTTCCTTCTTCGGTATGATCTACGATGCAGATGGCGTCCATCCGGATCCTCACAAGGTCGAGGCAATCAAGTCAATGTCTCCACCTGAGAACAAGAGCCAGCTTCGTGAGTTCCTTGGTATGATAACCTACCTTAGCCCATTCATACCAAATCTTTCAGCCCAGACTGCAAGCCTACGTGGTCTTTTGAAGCAGGACGCTGAATTCCAATGGACTCCAACGCACCAGTCTGCCTTCAATGATTTACGTGACAAGGTATGTCACGATGCAACTCGGGCGTATTTCGATGTTAACAAGCCTACGGTACTGCAGGTAGATGCTTCTCTGCAGGGCTTGGGAGCGACTCTACTGCAGGATGGAAAGGGTATCGCGTTTGCATCAAAGGCCCTCAGTGATGCAGAGACGAGGTACGCCAACATAGAGCGAGAGCTGCTTGCAGTGGTCTTCGGCTGTGAACGATTCCACATCTTCCTGTACGGGAAAAGTTTCATAGTTGAGACGGACCACAAGCCCCTGGAGATGATCCAGCATAAGCACCTGGCAGCGGCTCCACCTAGACTCCAGCGTATGCTCCTTCGTCTACAGCCATACAAGCTGACAATTGTCTACAAGCCTGGTAAGGATGTACCAGTAGCTGACTGCCTATCCAGACGTCCTCTTGGTCCTCCAGAACACATCCACCTTGACCTGCAAATCAACTTTGTACAGTTTGCTCCTGACCGTTTGAGTCAGTTGAAGGAGGAAACAGCCAAGAATGCAGAGTTTGCAGCACTACAGACGGTGATTGTGAAAGGGTGGCCAGAGAAGAGACGTGAGCTACCACGGCAGCTGCAGAGATACTGGGCCTTTCGAGATCAACTTGCAGTTGAGGATGGACTGATCCTGAATGGTGAACGAATCCTTATTCCACACTCCATGAGGGAGTACATACTGAGCAAGCTCCACGAAGGTCATCAAGGTATCGAGAAGACACGACTTCGGGCTAAGGCTTCTGTGTACTGGGAATCAATCAATGACGATATCGAGGTCCTGGTGAAAGGCTGCTCAGTCTGCCAAGAGTACAAGCCCTCGCAGCCCCATGAGACTCTTCTCCAGCACGAGATACCTACACGATCCTGGCAAGTCTTAGGTACAGACTTATTTCACTTTGAAGGGAACAATTATCTCATCATTGCAGATTACTTCTCAAAGTTCCCTGTCATCCGGAAAATGCCTCAAGAGTGTACCAGTGCTGCAGTAGTCAATGCGACCCGTCAGGTGTTCGCAGAACAAGGAGTTCCAGAAAGAATCGTTAGCGACAACGGAAGACATTTTGACTCCTCAACATACAGAGATTTTGCTACACAGTGGGGATTCAGCCATGTTACATCCTCTCCCCACTACCCCAGGTCAAATGGCTTCATTGAGCGAATGATTCAAACTGTCAAGAATACGCTCAAGAAAGCTAAAGTGAGTGGTATCGACCCCAACATGGCTCTACTATGTATCCGTGCCACTCCAATTGACAGCCGCATTCCAAGCCCAGCTGAGCTTCTTTACGGGAGGAAGATGAAGGACAACTTACCAACTCGAATCCGCAACAACTCCCCTGGTCGTGATGATGTTAACCATCGTATGCAGCTTCGACAGCAGAGCCAGAAGTATCATCACGACAAATCAGCCCATGACCTAGCACCACTCTCACCTGGGCAGCTTGTGAGAGTCCAAGACCAGACATCACGTCACTGGATAACAGCTACTGTTCGTGAGCAATGCCATGAGCCTAGGTCATATCTCGTCGAGACGCCTAATGGAAGGGTGCTACGCAGAAACCGGCAACACCTCGCTGATATTGAGCCCAGGCGTATCCATCATGATGAGGAGGTAACCAAGACACCCGATCCTCATACACGCGAAGAGATGACGCTTGATCCAACGCCCGACATCAGAGGTTCTCCTGCCCCAACCCCTGCCCCAAACCCTGGCCCAAACCCTGTCCCAATCCCCAACCACCAGCAGACCACCCGCAGTGGCCGGGTAATCAAGAAGCCAGAAAAATTGACTTATTGATAGGACTTCATCTTTGGATACTTCAAGTTTGGACATTATGGACTCAGTTTATTTTTCTGTAAGGGGGATGTAATATGTGATCTTATACATTGACTCAATGCTACATGCTATACACACAGTTAATGTACACTGTGGTGTATGGGCTCTTCTATACACAATATAACCAGTCATGCTGGATTGCAACTTCACTCTGATGTTTCTCTATGTGTCTTCATTTGAGTACTAACCATACAGCTAAACAACCCCACATTATACTACTAATACTAACAATAATTAAGTAAGAATAACAATAACAACAGTATCGTAATAATAATAATAACAATAATAATACTAATAATATCAAATTAAGAAGGAGAAGAAGAAGAAGAATAATTAATTCCATTATTACATACATGTAACATATCAATGAGTATAGTTTACCTGGGCAGAGACTCGATGCAATGCAACACCAAAGGCGAATGGCTTCCCCGGGTAGGTACTATTATCTTCATATCGAATGTGTACGTTGGAGACATTCACCTAATACAATCAGGATAAAAAAAAGATACCATAATCAATTCATTATGAGACAGAATTACTTGATCATTTCATTCCATTTCATGTGACATTTTTTAATTTTTATTTATTAACAGGTCTTGCACAGCCATCCAGTATAACTGTGATCAGACATGTAATTATACGCGGCCATCCAGTATAACTGTGGTCAGAAATGTACATTGTATATCAAGCAGAGAAATTTGTATTGTTTTGTATTAGTTTAACCATAGGACAGACAAAAACAAAACAAAAAGAGAAAGATAAATGAATGACCCATAAAAAACATAATAAACTAAATCATAATCAAACTGTATTACTGCCCCCATCACACAGTTTATACAATGGTTTATTTACGAAGGACATAAACATTTTGTTGTTGTTAATGTGTCTATGAGGCATGTATAAGAATATCATATGCCGATTATTGAAGAGCCCTTGAAATCAAAATGATGAAATAGAGGGTTAGAAAAAAGTGCTTGACAGCAATCGTTCTATTGATTATGCTGGCTGGTTTATATCAAGTACTTTAGACACAGTACCAGCAAAAAAGTACAATACATCATGCTTCGCTTTGGTTTGTGGTTTGAAATGCTAATCTACTTTTATTATTCAATATTACATGCACTTTTTACAAGCATATGGTTAGATTGTTTATTTATTCTATGAATATAAACAATATCTTCACACAATCTTTCCAAGGCACATATTAGCCAAATAATATAAAAAGGCAATTTGTGGTTGAAAACAATGACATCCTTGATAAAATGTGAATGCATTTGGAATTTTTTGTTTAATATTCTATGAAACCAAACAACCTACTTCACAATATGTATTACAGAATAAATCCTGAATTCAGAAAAGTTTCAAACATGGAATGAGTTTCAAGAAAATATTTAGGTACATGCATGTAACTGGTCAACCTAAAATAATCCACTCATCAATCTGAAAGCCAATAATATCCCATTTATGAAATATTTCTTTCATCTTGAAAATACCTCTCTAAAAATGTTATGGTTTGTAAATTAAACATGAAAAAAACAAAACAAAACAAAACAAAACAAATGGGAAAGTGCAGATAATGAAGACATTGACAGTCATATTTGTTTTAATGTAATTTGGAAAACAATACATGCACATTTAATACTAGAACACTCCAAAGGTCTTCTTAAAGTATACATGTCTATCATTTAATTTTCAACATGCAAACATGTAGCTTAACCCTGTTCATTTTCACTAGAAATTTTAACTGGTGTCTTTAAAAGTCAGAAACACAATATGGTTTAGCCCCAGCATGGACTACAATGCATAATACACCTAATCTTGTCTCTCCCTCTGCCCTCTGAGATTCTCAAATTAAATGTTGATGTTCAATCTATTCACAGGGGTATCACATGACATGTTGATCCATGGTATAGTTCATGAATAATTCATGAGTTAAGGTGAGCTCTGCCTCTATGCCAAATGTCAGATGTCAATTTGGTCATTCAGTATGGCTGGCTGGCTGAGAGAAAGCGGGAGAGAAAGTGAGTGGGAGAGAGGGTGAGTGGGAGAGAGGGAGAGAGAAACTAAAAGAAAAAAATAGATAGAGGAATATATTTGCCAGCTGATCAAATTACTTTTATTTATTAGCCATTTTTTCTGACAATTTTTTACACATTTCTCATGAAAAAGCCAGAATAAAATCATATTAGACCTACGGGTACAAGTATTAGCCATTTTTAAATAAATGTTTGACACATCTTGCATAATTTATATAATATATTGTAAAATGAAACAAACAAAAGTCATACTGGTTTTATATCTTGTTTTCTAAAAAAACAGGCACAATGAATTTTCATTTCACGGTTGAAAAGCAGCTGCTGATCTCTACCAGCACATACATATACATGTAATATGATGCTAATCATGTGGTTTCACACATCTGGAGTGGTAATACAGCTTTAGTTTAATGCAGGATGACATTTAAGCCGCACTTTACATATTATTTTCATGCATTGATGGATCAAAGGACGCCTTTCCCCATAAATCATATCATTTTCTGCTATATGTACAATATGTAGCAGATCTCTACTTCTTTTGCATGTTGCTTTTATTATCTTTTGAACATCAGTCCATCTGTCAAACTGTACAGTTTTCTTCCTGTCATTTATTATCATTATCTTTATCATCATCATTATCATCATCATCATCATCATCATTGCCATCACCATCATCATTGCCACCATCATCATCATCATCATCATCATCATCATCATCATCATCATCATCATCAATAACCACAGAGTCTAATATCTATCTTCTTCATCCCTTCTCCATCCTCCCCTTATTCTGTTCTCTCTACTGTCTCCTTGTATATAGATGTATTACTACACTGTAATATATGCAGGGCTTGTAGTATACATTATATTTTGTTGTCTATTCATAAACAGATTTAGCGCAAAAGAAATCATGCAATTTATAAGCAGATTCATTTGATACATTATTAATCACGAAGCATAGAGTGACGAATGCTATGAACTATCATCAACTGCAAATTGGATCGAGGCAATTATTCTAATAGATAGTCAGAATGGATTGCAGCATACAATTTGATAGAGAGGGGAGGCGAGAGATAGGGAAGAGAGACAGAGAATGGAAGAGGGGGCTGGAGAGGGAGGGGGAGAGTAGTTGTAAGATAGAGAAAAGACACTAGCTAACTAAATCATTTTTCATGAAGTAAACATATAACAAACGCAGTAGAGTATATTCGTATAGTAGGTGTGCACACTATATAAATGGATGTATTATTATCATGTACATGTACATCTTTCTTGTATTATAATAATAATAATAATGATAATACTCAGTTTTTATATATTGCTTATTAGAATCACTAAGCGCTTCCAAACTTGGAGATTATTACCCCGGCTTTAGCTGTGCTGCCATTGCGGCACTTAACGAACGAGAACAAATCCCTTTAAAAAGAAACTAGTCTCTTTGATAGTTACATGTGTCTTCTATTTTGCAACAATTGTATTAATTTAAGGAATGATATTTCACTGCATGTACTATACATCTACTAATTGTTTTGGCTTTACAATCAACTTTAATATAACCACAAACTGCATAACATTGTACACAGTACATTTATGTATTTAGATTCTTTAATGGAACCAGACCCTTCAACTTGAGAGTATGTTTTTTTTTTCCCTGAGTGACAAAGTAAATGCAATTATACATACTTCATAATAAAAAATATCAGAAAAAATGAACTTTGAACACAATTCCGTAGTTTAGCATTAAAATAATTAATAATAAACACATCGGTGTGCTGCTTTCAAACAATAACTTTCCATTCAAATTTTCAGTCAATCATTTACTAACAGCCAAGCAGAAGGCAACACATTACCAAATCATTTTTTTTTTAAATGGTGTTATGTCTCTTTTAGGTGTTTACCTGTATATTGTTGATGATTGCTGCAGTTAACTTCTCGGTGAATGACAGATCGTGACTCTTGCTACCTGCAAAATGCATCATAAAAACAATAAAATTTAGAAGATTTGCTGACTAAAATGCAATAAAATGAAAGAGCATTGGAAAAAACAAAGGGTGCATATGAATCTATAAAATTACAAAACAATTTTTTATTGAGTCTCACATGTACCTTGTACGGTAAATTTTAAAGGCTTGTTTGATACGTGTGTTTACCATGGTTACGTCATTTTCTTCAGTAAAGAGAAGATTTAAGTTAATCTACAAGTACTGTAAGTAATAATTCTAGTCGACTTCTGACATTATACAACCAAAATAACCTTCATTTTCATGTCCATACATGTATTTCATACTTACATGCAGACAAGGTTATATTTATGTGCATTGTGCAAGTATAAAACTGATGTGCATGTAAAGAGATCATAGTACACATCCCTCTATAAAAAATTACAAAATCCAGAAAATACTTTAAATCTCTAGAACAGAGTCTGCATGAATTAAAGATATACATATACACTGTATGCATTAAAAACAGCCCCATATGTTCTCATGCAAGAAAATCATATTACACACACATCCCTCCGAAGAAAGAAAAAAAATTCAAGAAGATACTTTTTATCTCTACAACAGAGTGTGTGGTGCATACATGTACATGTATTAAGATATAAGCAGCCCTATACATGTATCTTCACATCCACGTAAGGACATGGCCTAAATGGGTATATACGGACAACCTTTACATGCACATGTCCTCTAGGCCTGATAAAGATATCAGTCAAATGCAGGGATGCACACCTGCAAGCTACATGTAGCACCCATCTATCTCTTCCCCAGTGACATATGACTGAGACGATCTAATGTAACAAACAACCTGCTGAGGCTTGTCTCTCATCTTAAAGGGACAGATGCTGATGGCTGTTTGTCATTTATTTTCTCTAATGACAGAATGCCCTAATAATAGTGTATGCATGGTTTATTGTCTGTTCAGGGGTAGAAAGACACCGACTCTGTGCTCAAGTATTTGAATTAATGCCCTTCTTGCTCTAAACATTGCATTTTAGTGGTGCAAAAATTGCTATTATGAGTGTGTTATTAGTAGCTATTCTAGAAAAATGTTTATATAAAGCAACTTTCGATTTTCATGTTCATTACAAAACAGCTACAAAACTTTGCAGGAGTAGTGTGTATTATAATAATAAACATGAACGATTAATTTGAAATAGGAAATCTAAAAAAAGCCCCTAATTTTTTTAGATCATACATTCATGGACACAAGGCTCTCATGGAGATCTAATTTTGCACCGTCATATCGAGAAATGCTATGAAGATATGCCTTCAAATTGTACTTAAATAATGAAATTTATACATGTATTTATATTGATTTTTATATACATGTACACTGTACATGGGAAAGTAATTTAAATGTATTCACAGGCCAAGTTTGATGATTTAAAAAAAATGATAGTGAAGCCTTGACGAAGAACATCAATAAACAGGTGAAACAAATATTACTACAGATGTTGAGACTACACCCTGTAGAGGTAAAGATTCCATTCCATCAAATCAAATAACTTACAACTATGAATCAATTCCTCAACGATCTTTCAAAATGGGGATTTCTTTTCCATATGTCCAAAATGGAAATGGTGACATGATAATTGAGCTATTACTGAACCAATTGGCTGCATGGCCCCAGTCTTGACAGTATCCATGGTATACAATACATGACCTCTCATGTTACAGCTGCATATTAATTCAGGATGATTAGCTCCGCATGTAGAGTAGTCTGTGGTCATTGGCTTAATTTCATACAGTGAATATAATGCCCGTACCTCATGTGTAAAGGCAATTATTAGAAGAAAAAAAATAGAATTATGATTGTGGACAAGTGACCTTTATGAATACAGATTACTAATCATTTACAAGGCCTCCTTGCCATCTAAAACTGCATAATATACATGTACATGTATATGTAAATCACCAAATTATTATAATTACAAATTTAATGGTCTTGATAGTTTGAAGGCCATCACATCTTACACATACACTGTACATTAAAGAGTAGAGAAAAATGTACTGTACATGTATTGATGTAGGAATCTACTTTAGTTGGGATCAAACGATTTTCCATAAAGTTGAAATTTAGTTTTCAAAAGGACAATATATTACCAAGTTGTGTAATGCTTTCACATCTAACCAAGATCAACCTGGGCATAATTTCTCTGACTTGTACACAAGGAGGGTGTAATTAATGATTGTTTTAATTTGACATTTACATGTAGGAAGCTCCTGAATCATATTTCTAGGGGTGGAGGTGAGATTGGAATGTACCATTATTTTCTACCTTCATATAGAGCCTTAAACAAGAATACATACATGTACATGTACAGGCCCACCCCAAAATATCAAGTAGTTTTATTCAAATGACTCACCTCAAAATTTGATTGCAATAACAGAATCAGATCACTAGTTTAGAACATCTTCATAAACTACTTTCATTTTCTTTTTACTCATTTCTTTACTGCACATTCTTGTACTTCTACAGTACATGTATGTAATTTTTCAATACTATCAGGAAATTAAAAAAAAATAATGTATACACATGCATTGCTTTATACATGTAGCAAAGTGAACAACCAGCACACAAACTCAGATATTGACTGAAAGGCCAATCACCTAGAGAGGATTCAAGGGCTGAATCTCAAGACGACACTTTCTCATTTAATTTCTTTCCGCCTAATCTTTGAAGTGCTTCTTACAAAGTAAAGAAGGTTCAAGTCATACAGTGTACATGTACATGTACTGAAGATAGGCAATGCATACTTGCTACATGTACATGCAGCTATATAATAATGATGATGATAATGATGAGGATGATGATAATGATGATGATGGTGATGATGATGATGATGGTGGTAATGGTATATTTGTAAAGCGCTTAGAGACATTTGTATTAAGCGCTATATAAAAATTAAATATTATTATTATTATTATTGTAAAAATATTTATTATGTAATAATAATAATGTAATAATAAAAATAGCAACAACAACAATAATATAGCACCTAATAATTAAAAAGTCCCTATGCATTTATGAATCACAGTATTGCAATGATAATGTACAGTACACTTATGTATACATCTGGCGTTTTGTTGGTGTTTATATATTTTCACATAAATTTGGAATATGTGATTTATGCAATACTCATCCGAGTCAGCGAGTCTACCCAATTTGCTAGCACTCATTAAGATCTATCAAGTACTGTACAGTCATTCAGATTGTCTCTAAATTGAATCTAAGCAATATTGTGTGAGGCTGTGAGCAATGAAAACTTGGAAACTGCGCAGCCGTGGGATGATAATTCTCCCTTCCAAACGGCCTTCTGCAGGAATACATTTTGGAAATTCAAAGTAATATAATATTCATTAAAGAAGCAGGATGTGAAGATGTTGTACACTGAACATGATTGTGCATCATGCATGCTATTCACATGACACATGTACCATGAATATGACTCATAATCACAGCACCATATCCAGCATAGGGCAGAGCAAGTACATGACCCCCCCCCCCTCCCCCTCCTCCTCCTCCTTCTCCCCTTTCCTTTTCCATACCTACATGTAGAAATAAATAAAATGCCTTTTTTTAAAATCTCTTTGAATAGCAAGACATGACTCTGATTGCTAGGAAACAAAAAAATTAATACTGTACATGCATTTCCAATGCCCACCCCCGAATTGTGGGGGCTAGACAGCCCACTCACACTGTACCCCCCCCCCCCCCCTCCTCGTTACTATTTGGATTTACATGTATGCCAGTGCTGCATCCAAGATAGGAAGATCACGAACATGTATCTAAATTTATGGGGGAAATAGATTTTTTTTATAATAATAATGATAATAAAACTACAGGTAATTCAAGGATATGTTTACATCTACTGTAGATTTCAATGTGACTCATTCATGAAATTCTACGAGAAGCATCTGTCTCACTGAAAAAGACTCTGATATATATGTACATGACGAGACAAGAACAACTCCACTACTACATGTAGGTGTTCATGCATTACTAGAATTATATACAGAGGTTAAGGTACATGTAGCATGACTTATCTTTTAATTCCATTAACAAAATATTCAAAAATTTAACTTTTGAAATTGAAAAGTGCAAACCCTGCTGTGTTCGGGACACATTCATGAATTCCAAACAAAAGCATCGGTGTCGCTAAAAAGGACTCTCGATACATACAATAACAGCAATCACTTCACTGCCTACATGTACTGTATGGATCACCAGGTTCATGTTTATGTACAGACTACAGAGAATATAAAGGTAACATTACATGGGGGCCCCATCTCTATAGCCGTGTAGCATCTCTGACTGTGATTTGTTCAGCATGGGCAGTGAACTGGAGCCATTCAATCGGGCTTGAATGAGAAGTCCATTTGGAGTGTAATACGCTTGTCACCTCAAGGGCATACGCTTCCAGACTTAGACGGGCTCTTAAATAAATCGTACGTCTTGGAATTTCTTCTAAGGCGTGTTATTGGAGACCAAGATCAGTCAGGTTTAATAATATACATTGTGGGAAGTGGGTGATCCATGTACTTCACAGACATGGTCAACATGAATGAAGATAAGCTAGATGTACATGTACACATGTTTATTTACAGAGATACTTGTAAAAGTATCTAAGATTACATGTACAGTACCGGTATGTATGTGCACAACATACATGTACTGTTAATATACATCTATTCTGTATCCAAATTACAGAGGAGAGTAGGAAAATAGTTCATGCTGTTAGCAATGTAATTAAAGGACATTACAGAGGCTTTTATTGCTATACATAAGCCCAACAAGAACCCTGAATGTGCAAAAATGTTGATTATGAGAAAAAACGGGATTTTTTTTTCTTTTTTTTCTCCATATTTTACTACACTTCCACATACATATACAAGAAAACGTATATAGTGTACATGTATATCCTACCATGAACTTCTTTCACAAAAAGTACATCTTGTATTTTCATAAGCCCAACAAGAACCCTGAATGTGCAAAAATGTTGATTATGAGAAAAAACGGGATTTTTTTTCTTTTTTTTTCCATATACATGTATGTACTTATACTACACTTCCACATACATATACAAGAAAACGTATATAGTGTACATGTATATCCTACCATGAACTTCTTTCACAAAAAGTACATCTTGTATTTTCATGGAAAATGTGTCTTTCATTGAATACACTCCACACACATGAGGGGTATAAGGTACACATGTAATTCAGTTGCAGTGGGTGAACAGGTGTTTTTAGTATAATACTCCATGTTTGGATATTCCTAGCATGCACCCACTGCCCTTTACACAATATGGAATCTCCATCATCCCCCAAGGCAGACATGCTACAGGATCTGAATAAGAATTACAAGTTGTTATACTTGTAAGACAAATTATACATGTCCAAGTATATAAGTGTACATGTACATGTACATTGTACATGAAATGTTGGCCAAATCATGTTTGCATCCTTGCGATGCATGTGCATGAATGTTCACGACCGAATGCATGACATGTATGTTGAATTAAACAGATGACAAATTGAAAGTAGAGATCTACACGTGGGTGGGGCTTGACACGCACATGCACCCAGGACTCATGGGCCATAAATGTGTACCTCCAGACCCCACATGTATTTTCAAAATGTCAACAGGGGGAGGGGGGGGGGGGGGGGGGCTCATGCATACAGACACTTCTTCTTATTCTTATGAAAACCAAATAGTTTGTAGCACTGGGCCCCATTGCATCATACTTACCACAGAGGGTAACTTTGCCAGCAATATTATCTACCACGGCAACATTTCTCAAAAGCCAACCAAATCAAGGTTTCCATTGAAGTTACCAGTGATGTCAAAGTTACCATTGATGCTAAGTTTTTATGCAACTGGGCCCTGCGGAAACCAGAAAACTGGGCGTAACTGCATAATACCCCATGCATCAGTACAATGTAATAGGGTTGATTTTAGGGTTAGTATCAAGTGTAGTATGAGATAAACATGGGCAACTCTGCAGTTGTTTAAAAACAAAAATTGTAAACATGAATGTCTTACTTGTGTCTGAGCTTGAAGAGGCTTTCTTGGCCACTTCAATCGCTGATAGCTTCTGTTGCTTGGACGCATTCTCAGCGTTTCTCGCTTTCTCTTCATCGTATGGGCGGTCAGCAACTGGACTGACCAGTACCAGGAGGTCTTCAACATTGACCACTACCGGTTCAGAGAAAAGTCCAGTCCAGGAAAAGTCAATGTATATCCTTCCTGCAAGATAGATAAAAGAGAATATTGAAACATGATGTTAAATTTGAGTTAAAAGTCATACCAACATCCTGGTATCCAATAGGACAAAAAAAACCCTGGGAATTAGCCCTCTGAAAAATCTACCCCCTCCCAGCATAACTATCCTTTTAGGACAACTGCCCACTTAGAAAATGATCTCTTGAAGTAATTTCCCCCTACATGTACATTAATACATGTAGAAACATTTAGTTTTCTGAGAATTACTGCTGGAAACAAAATATTCATGGGTTAATTGTAAAGAGGGGAGGGGGGGGGGGTAGTTTTCCAAGAATTTCTGGTTCTGAAGGTGGGCCATTCCATGAGAAGAAGGACATGACATAAAAAAAAGAGATGTACCTCTTATGTTAATTCTTTGATTTATCACTAACCTTATGCCATGGATGTTCATAAAACATTAGGGCCTTTCAAATTCAATACAATTTTTTTTCATTTTTGTTGATTTCCTAAGATCTCAAACTATCATCAAAAACGTACATGTGGGACTGTAGCTGAAAAAAAAACAATTTATTGCAGATTACACAGGATTCTTGTAATATTTTTTCCTGAAAATTTCGCTAAATGGAAAAAGATGAATATATTTCCATATTCTAAGGGGTCCTGTGATATTTAATCTATTACATAGGGGTGAAAATGGCCTCCGGACAAAATGTAACGCGAGTTACCGTAACGTGAGTTACCGACATATTTGCTTCCTGCATTTTACTAGTCCATTGTTTCTTATCTTTAATATTGTGATCTTATACTAGTAAGTCACAACCTACTATCAAATTAAAGTAGGAAAGATTTTGTCAAGATTGTCTAGTATGAGGAGAAAAGAGGGTCTCGTAGAATTGACCATGTCCTTTTTTTGTAACGCGAGTTACCGAAATTCAATAATCCAAGAATCTAAAAATGTTTGTTCTTCAATTTTCTTTTTTGTTTCATTCAGTTGTTCTATATCTACCCTGTCCATGTTTGAAAAAAGTATCTTGTAGATCCTAGCAGTTCTAAAGATATAGGCACATTATCGTGTCAATGTACCCATTAAGTGTAACGCGAGTTACCATGGAATGGCCCAGGTGCATCTGTCTTAGGAAGGAGTTGTCCTGACATAATACCAAATTTTGTAAGTCTGGAGATGTTGGATTACTACCTGTATGAATGCCAAAATCTAACATTTCCATCATAATCAACCACTGTATCAATATCTTCAATGAACTAACAACCTGAACTTTGGCTGATTGAGTATCCCGCCAACAAAATACAGTGTGCATAACAAAGTCAATTTGCACACTTTACATGCTGCAATTACTCCTTCTGAATCACAATTTAGAACATAAACTGACTTTATTAATACTGCATGGTCAATTTGTACAAAATGACATTTGGCATATTACTTTGCTTGAAATGTCAAGATATGCAGTACCTGTACATAATTGTACAATATATTAATAGAAATTGTTCCACTGACATACTGTACACAGTGTACATGTATGACCTGCATGTTCAGAGATCTATGCATTTAAGATCTATTAAAAATAAAGATGAGTTCTGGTAATGTGATGGCATTGTGAAAGAAAAGGTGTGGAATGGATCAGAAACAGTTGATCATGTAGCATGTAAGTATTGGTGTGCACTGGAAGGTTCTGGAGTCATCAAAATCATAATAAATTTGGCCGAGTCTTGGTAAAGTAACAAGCACTGTACACAGAAAGCTATATATGGGACAACACACATGGTGTCGGGGCTAGTACTACCTTGATTTCATCGTCTTTCTATGCTCATTACTCAGCCAATATACATTTTCTTCCAAAATTGATTGGCACATGCCATTTATTTGTAATCTTGAACATTCAGTGTCAGTTTCGTTTGATTCTGTGAGAATTAATTTTCTTTTTTTCACCAGTTTATCTTTAAACATGAAAGATCACAGAAGCAATCCAGCATAAAGATCTCACGAACACCTCAAATATTTGCAGTGGAAATTGCTCATGCACTATTCCAATACTACAAAGCAAACAAATTGAACCGATTGCACTCAACACACTGAACCATTGCATACATGTACAGATGTTAAACAATATACAGTCTGATTTTGTGGAGAAGATGTTTTTTCTTGTAACTCTTCAAGAGCAAAGATAGGGTTTGGCTACATGTACATGTACATTCAAGTCATTTAGATTTCATTTAATTGCATAATAGATTCATGAGAAGACCCTTTAAGGTATTTTGCAAAATAATGTGGGGAAAAAGAAGAAGGAAATATGCATTGAAATGTTTTAATTAGTAGCACTTTCAAGGATTTGTGATTACCGTTTTGTATGAAATATTTACATATAATATATACAATTAATCGTTTTCAGACAATTTTTGGTCTGTCCAGTTTTATGCAGATACATGCATTTCGTTGGATAAGTTAACAAATAGAGAAAAATGCCACTGTTGCCAATCAAAAAAAAAATGTTGTTCTTGATCGACTAAAATGAAGTGCATCTCAAAATAACTTTCTCAACTACAGCGTAAATGAATAATCAGGCTTCTATGATAATCTATTTTAGTTGAAGAGACAAGTACTGTGGTTTAAAAACAGAGTTAAACTTCACCTACTAAATTTAGGTTTTAAGATGAGAAAAAAACTGCACTGAGAGTATAATGCAATTGATCAAGTGAAGCCTGTGGCAGGCCTGAAGTCATTCACTCTACCAGCTAATTTACTTCGCTTCTTATTATTTGATTAGGGAGAATGATTGAATTAAGGCTGTGCACATTATTTTGAGCATAATGGAATAACAAGCCATGCGTTTACCACATCATATGACTCAATCAACAAGTGATTGGTGAGCTATGCATGAACAAAGTAAAATCCATTTTGGGAATATGTTGTACACACACAAAACCTTTGATACCTGCAATTTTTATTTGGACATCAATATATTAAATCATGTTTGCACTGCAGGGATTTGTTTAAATATACATGTTTATTTATTTACAACTTAGTCTGCTTGGGCAATCACAACATGAATCCTTCATGTTTGTTATCATTTTTGATGTGGCAACATTAAGCAAAATTTTCATCCATAGAATAACAGTGTTGTTTCCTATGCTTGGGATGGAGCCATAATCCAACTAATGAAAAAGTAAATACAACTTGCTTTATTAAAGGGCATACAACATAGACAACTTCACAAAAAAGGGCTAAGGCAAACGAATATATGTCTAGTATTCAACAAGTCGGCTACAAAAATTATTAGCATGCACAAGTGAGTAAGCTTTAATAATGTTGATATAAAATGAAAGTTTTATGGACAATCAAATTTTAAAATGGTAAGTAAATAAGCCTTCCCCCCCCCCCCCATCCCCATTTATCTGATTTTATTTTATTTAGTAAAAGCAAATAAAACATATAATTCATGGCATCTCACCTATATGGCCAGCAACTACTTCTATGGGGAGATTCAGCTGAGCCTGTAAAGAAAAAACGAAAGGAAAAAAATGGCACAAGATCAGCTTGCAGCCAAAAAGCCACTGAACATGTTTGAAGTGTTTCATTTATAGTACTTCAAAATTTAATAGATTTTCACAAACAGTCCAGTGAATCACAAACTCTGATACACTGATTTATTTTCGACTATAGAGAAAAGCTTACCAAAATAGAAAGATTTTGTAATATCTTGTCAATTTAAATGTTCAATATTTACTAATATCTTGAACACAAACAGATTTACATGTACATTGATTACAAATAGTTAATAATCTGTATGTACAGTACATGTAATTCCTTTTTTTCCCCCTTCTTCTTCTTCCACTAATGGGAGGATTAAAATGGGAATTGCTCTTGGCGAACATCTTGCATACATCATCTTGACATTTCATAACTATTGTGATCATTATCAAGGCATACAGTGTATTAGTAGGTAATACCATTAATCATTGTTATGACCGAGCATTTGTGTATCTAGGCCTTCAGGGAAAATTTATTTTTGTCCGTTCACGAGCGACATGGAATTAAGAGATTATATTAGCACTTTATGCTAAAATCCCTTCCTAAGCCATAATCTAGGATCGGCTGTAAACAAGTCATACATGTACATATAGGACAGAGTTTCACAAACTGATGGAGTATACATTTGTAACAAACTATACAATGTAGTGAATCAGGATTTTTTTTTGTAAGCAAATCAAAAAAGCAAACATTACAAATATGGAAAGAAGATTTTGAAAAAACATCTTGTAAAGAAATACTACCATAGTATTTAGAAAACATGAAATTTACAAATGAAATGTTGTACAAAATGGAAAAAACATCACAAAGAAATTCATTTACAAAACATACCAATGCCTCTGGCTTTATCTCTAGGTCTGTCAGTTCTAAGCTACCTATAAAACAAAAGGGGTAGAATTGAGAAATAAACAATAATGATAATGATAATTAACAATCCCATGTAATGTTTATGCATGAAAATAAAAGGCAATTAACTAAAAAATAGTGGAAGTACACATTACATGTATCTGTAATAAACACCTCACAATTCAAGTTCACTGTAGCTATTCAACAATCAACAAACAATTTACATTTACATGTGAATGCATTTCTGAATTCTGCTCCAGATTTCAATTTGGCTAGAGCAGCCAAATACCCAAACCTTTTTCCATTGTCTAAATAAAAAGAAATCCCTTGCGACACAACAATGTACAAATTATCCATTAATGTACTATGTTATAAACATACATGTAAATGTGTTTGAATATGTGAACATAGTAGACATATAATTCTTAATGAGAGTCTCCAGGGAAGAAAATCCATTAGCCACTCAGACACACCTGCCTTTCATCTAAACACAAGAGGATGATACAATATATTAGACTGATATATTATATCCTGCTCTAAGTATGAGGCTCAAGGCTACAGTATAGATAATATCTGGACAAGCTTTGTAATGCAATTGCATTTTGAGTTAAACTGTCTTGAATTCATTATGAATGTATTAGATGGTTTGTTTGACTGGCTATTAGTATCAACAACCTAATAAAGACTAGCTGAAGTTGTGAATTTAGATTTGTCACATTCAGGGAAACCGTACAGACTTCACTTTAAATACTGTACATGTTCATGTACAAGTATTGTACATATTTACCGGTAATACATTTAGATACTGTGTGTATTCACATGGTATGGACAATTCTCTTTCTTGGCTCAATACTCAGAGATTGTAAATTGTCTGCCAAAATTGTTTGGCAGAGATGGATCATTTCAAGTCTTGAAATTCAGTGTAAGTTCCATTGCCAAGGCTACATGTGTTCACCATCATCATTTCCAAAGACAGAGTATTTATACTCAAATAATTCATCAAACTGATAATGTACATGTTTCTCCTATGCCTGATTGAATAATGGTCCATGAAATAAATATTCTTTACATGTACAATGTACATGACATGTAATATATATGTCTCTCCTTTTTAGTTGAGAAGTGGGAGTGAGGCCTCACATTATTTATCCATGGAAACTTGATCAAGGTCAGTATTACAATACAAAGGGTTTAATATTCAGTTCATCTCTAAAGCAAGGGAATATCAATCAGTGAATTTATGTGCAGGTACATTCAATGTTTAGGTACGTACATTAATGGATAATGAAACAAGGATGCTTTTAAAGGTCAATACATTTTGTGAATTTACAGGTATACTGTACATGTACATGTATGCTGTTTAAATTTAGAAATACATGCAAAATGTACAGGACTTGTATATATCATCCAAATTATAATTACATGTAGATGTACAGTACATGTACATGTACACTTGATCTCTATCTGAAGTAGATATTAACCTCTTTCACAATACATGTAATTTACCTGTAAATGTTCATGTACTGTACAGTATACGTACATGTAGGCCTGTGCATGTATAATTACAAATATGTGAGAATAAGTATTCAAGAAATGTGTACATTATGTAACACTTACATGTACATGTACATGATGTAGTTATTGTTTTACCTTAAGATGTGGTTTACAAAATAATTGTTTAACAATGTTTACATGTACTTGTAGATGTACAATGTATAAACGTGACTGTGTACAGACAGTATAGTGTATGTGACCATAATATATACACAACACACACCCACACATATCCATACAAGACATGCAGTCAATGATGGCCCTAGATGAAGAGTGGAAGATACACAGGGTGACAACCAAGCAAGTGGTTGGTTGTGGCTGGCTCATACTGGGGCGATACAAAACCATAGAGCAACTCAATTGATGCTCAACAGCATATTGATTGCGTGTGTGCAGTCAAGACAAGATGACATACATGTACTGTACGCACTGGTGTTCAAGCAATACACTGAGTGGACGGGCCACAGTGCTAAGTGCATAACCATACAGGTGCACCTTCTGATATCCTAACATATGTTCGCATGCATACTGTATTTATTTGAAGCTCGAGTCTTGGAGCGATAAATGTTTGGTGTACAGGAGTACACTGTACGTGAATATGTAGATTAGACATGTAAAATGTACTGATTTTCTTTTTTAATTTCATTTTTACTGGGTGGTAAATTTGTACATTTCTAGCCTATATTCTTTCCTTTCATTTTTCTAAAACATCATTTTAGTCACAGTGAAAACAAGAGAGCAATGTTTTTTGTTTTAGTTTTCTTTTTATTACAAGCTGTATTTTTTCTACTCAAATTTCATATTTGTTATTAATTATACATGTATATTATGATGCTGAGGACATCTTAATATCTTTCTTGTACATGTACGTGTACAATGCACAGTCAAGTAAAAACTTCAAAATATTAAAATTGTATTTATTTACATGACTACATGTACATGTACATGTAGAAAGCAAAAAAAAAATTTTAATGTAATTCTACACTGTAATATTCCTAAATTTAATTATGGTAATTACAAAGTTAATGGACTCTTTAATCAATAAAGAAGAAGCAAAGCCTTCTTCATGCATATTCATGTACATGTACAATGTATACAATGCTTCAATGCCCCAGATTAGTTACAAACCAGTGCGGGTGAATACATGCAGCTGAGTTAGACATTATTTGATTTTAATTGCATGAGGATTAGCAAGGACACAGACAAGTTCTTGATCAATGGTACTGAATGATTAGATTGTCCCAGAATTTGAACAAAGTGGCTTGTTACTAAATGTGCTCATGGATGCATGTACAGTGTAATTTCTGCAATGAACATGGACTTTTACATTAGAAAGCCTGAATAATAATGTAACAAGTCTCCATTTGCATGTGAAATCTTTGTCTAACATATACCTGTATACAAGCATATATTCAGCGTGATCCAAATGGTCAGGAAATTGTGGCGAATTATTCATCTTATTTATTTATTTATTTTTGTTACAAATTTTACGTACATGTACATGTAATATATTTTTACAAGGGAATTATGCTTTCTAAACACTCTTTACAAATGATTTTCATGTTAGATATGCCCATGACTTTCATTATTTTATAAAACAATGTACAATTAGGTACAGTGTATTAAAGTCTCTTACCATTTCATTATTAAAATTATTGCTCCTGCATCAAAAGTTTCTTTTTTCATAGCCTCTGCATAATATTCTTAATAATTACCTTATTGCAAACAAAAAGATTTAATAGAAACTTCTTCTTCTTTTTTAACAAAGAGATAAAATAAGAAATCACTTACTGTCAAAGATGCCAAGTTCGAGATTATGACTGTCCAAGTTCCTGATGTACTTGCTCAGGTACTTGTTGAGCACACCGGATAACAGGGATTCCAGAACCATGGTTGGTTTCAGATCTCACTCTAATGAACAACAAAGTCTGCTCCTAAAACTACTTGCAATAGATATCTGTGGCTGACTGTTGCCTGTCATTAGGCTAAATAGAAAGAGAATGATAAAGAAAAGGGAAAAGTAAAGAAATAATATTTCACTATTAAATGATACAGGTACTCATCTGGGCCCATTACACAAAACTTACCATTGATGGTAACTTTACTATCAATAGTAACTACCATGGAAACCTTGATTTCGATTGGCTGTTGAGCCCTGTTACCATGGTAATTGCCATTGATGGTAAAGTTACCATCAATAGTAAGTTTTATGCAACGGGCCCCCGGTGAAATTTGGTTATGAGCTATACATGTATTTCGTTTGACCAACTTTTTTAGTCTATAATTTACACAGACAAATACAGTGAAGCTCTGACAATTTAATGAAACGTCATCAAGAGAGGCCCTGTACAGGTACATACAGTATGTTTATTTGCGTCTTTCCAAAACAAAGAGATTCAACAAAATGATCAGTCTAAATACATGTACATGAATTTGTAAAGGATGTTATCAATATTGTATTTTACAGCATGAAATAAACATAGAAATTAGTGAGCAGCATAATTATAACAATGCCATTCCTGTTAATATTCAAAGTACAAAATATACATTTTCAAACGCATAACAAATCAGAAAATGAAAGGAATTTTGCATTTTAAATAAATTTGACAGTTTAATTAATAATCATTGACATGAAGATGAAACAGTAGACAGCTGTCCAATAATCCTTGTTCATTTCCTGTCAGACCAACCAATGCGTTAAACCTTTAATACCCCCTTGAAACACGCCCATATTTGGTATCTGGTATGCGGTAGTTTACACTTTTACAGCTGAAATCCGCAAGTTTTCGCCCCAACAGGTGATTTAAAAAATTAAAAAAAATCTTCAGTGACATGCTGACCTTTTTTTATACAAGAGTTCTTGATATTTAGTTCGGCTGCTGTAACCCAAATACTGTTACACGCAAAGTACATGCATGTACAGAGGTGTTTTTCGTATTGCCAATTTGATTTAGTGTACTATTAATTCACTGAATTTAGGGAACTTCCTGCCGTCGCGCCTTTTTTACACTTATTGCTATTATCGTATCAAAACGGGTGATGACAAATGCATTTTAGGTTTTGGTTACATCAACCTTTCTCTATCTTCTTCTATTCTACAAGTAAATGTATGTACATTTGTATTGAGTAGTTCATTAATCCTCATCCTACTCGGTTGTCTTTGTGAACAGTCATCATTTGAGACATCCAATGGGTTTTATGATTCCGTTCATGATTAGGCCATTTTTTAGGTTAACTTCCTGTACTTTATAAGAATATTGATGAATTTGGTATCAGTTTGTAGAAGAAAAAAAAGTGTTCTACGAGAAAATTATGATTATTTTGTTTGGTCCGTTTGTTTGTTTTTCCTTTTTTTTTCTTTCTCTTTGAAAAGTCAAAGTTGGGGGTGGGGCTTATGTGGCGCTGCGGCCTTATCGCCGGCAAATACGGTACATGACGTATAATGTATATGTACATTTAAGTTAACCGAATACATTTATTTAAAATAATTTTATGCATTAATGTTGGGACAGTGCACTTGAAATTGCTTTATCACTCTAGTCACTTGTTTATTGTACCATTGATGCATGGCATGACTACATGCATATTATGTATTTAGCACTTCCTCAGGCAATGTGTCTAGCATAGCACCATCTATTGCTGTGCACTTGATACACACTCAGAAGTCAACATGATTTGGTTGTGTTGTGAGGATCAAGGATCCCCTTTTTGCCAGTGCATCATTGGGATTTGAGCCATACGTGTAGTCTTGTCATAAAGGCAGGCTAAGAGGTTTGATAGATTTTTTTTATATTTAGTGTATTTTTATGAAAAGTGAGTTTGTAATTTATGTAAAGCCATAATGCAGATGAACAACAATAATAACTGAGGGTATTTTAATAGGTTTAAAAATCGTAACACAATGTACATTATGAGTTTCTCCAAGAGACTGTATTTTTGCTATGAATTTGATGATGCTTTGATGTATTTTTTATCCTTTATTTGTGTCATTATTCCACGGTTTTCACGGAATGGAATGGTATGAAGTATAATGAAGCAAGATTTCTCCAATCATTAAAGCTACATGTACAAACTCCCATAGAAACCTTTGTCCAGATCAAGATCCAGAAAGTTATTATTACATGTACATGTATATGATTATAAAAATATTTCTTACAGTACAGTATGTGCATTACTGAAATCTCTCCAAGAATACTCCTTTTGTCATAACCAATTTACTTTTTAATTATGACAAGAAGCAGCCTTGACATCAGGAAAAATTTCTATAGCCAGAGAGTTGTAAGCAAATGGAACAAGCTGCCACAAACTGCCATTGATGCTCCCACACTCCTCAGCTTCAAAAACAACTATCCAACCTGGGTTTTTAAATGGGTCCCATGGGACCCCCTTAACCCTGCCACACCACACTATCTACTGGATCTACATGTACATGTACATCACCATGGTGACGAGGTGTGGACTTCAAGGTACTGTATATTCAAGGTATATAATGGTTACAACTTTATTGAAAACAATTTCATTTACATTATATTCTTGTGTCCCATTATATTAGCTTAGGGTGATTAGACTTGCATGTACATTTGCATGTACATGTACATGAACATGTACAGGTATGAATCTTGTATTAACTCTCCTGTGCATCCTTGACCTTCACTACTATTCAGCCATCATTTTTATCTTGCCATATTGGTTCACCCATGACCCATCAATTTTGAAATTTGAAATTTATTTGATTTCCAGGTACATGTATGAACAAAATAGAAATGACAACACAGAGCATATAACATTAAGAGTTACCAGACAGAGAAAAAGCCACCAGCGGACGCCCGAGGATTACCTAAAAGAATTTCCATTCTGTCATGAGGTTCTCCACATCCACTGGTGTTACATATAAATAGATTTAAGAAGTAACGGTAAAATAACATAACATAATTCAAGTTCATCCATCAAGCATAATAACTAATAGAATGATTGCATGTATGTTGAACTTTGTGGCATGAAGAAAATAACAATCATGTACGTCATGTAACGGTAAAATAAAATAACATCAATCAATTTTGGTGTTTCTACTGTCTGGATTATTCCATTCTCTCTTCCTTTTCAAGTGAATGTAATTCATTGCATTTGCATATTTCATTATGCCATGGAAAGGGAGGTCTGCTGTGCTGTGCAGGCAAAAAATAAAAACACTACACTCTACATGCATGCAGGGCATCTCACTGTTCTCAGAGCTGACATCGTCGGCCGGCTGGCAGAAGGGCGTTAGAGCGCAAGCGACTCAAAAACTACTTTTCAAATTATTCGCATTTAAAGATTTGTACTATATTTAAAAAGCTTTCCGTCCCAAAAATTGGTTTAAAACTTAAAAGACTAATAGAAATAAGTAGAACATGGCCACAATTTTTGAGTGGAAATGAGTCAGGTTTATAAAAGTTTGAGGCAATTTAGTGCTAACGCCTTAACGCTTCATTTTTTACCTGATATTCGAGCTAACGCCCTTCTGCCAGCCAGGCGACGACATCTCTATTTTGAGTAGAGTCGATAGATCTACTTCTGTTAGGTTGTTCAGTTAATTAATTTGTACGCTCTCACTAGACTAGTTGTTTATTTTGACCGAGTTTGCTTCTTGTTTATAAAGATATGGGGCATTGCAAGAAAGTTACGGTTGATTGCAAGTTGCGATTGATTGCAAGTTGCAAATTTTTCAACTGATATTTGCAATCGATTGCAACTCGTGTTTCTTGCAATGCCTCACTTAATTTTGTCTCCTAAATTTCCTAGGATTTTGTTAGGATTAATAAAGTTTTAACAATTAAATTAAGTAAACTAGATCCAGCTTTTATTCTCCCCTTTCTCTCTCTCTCTCTCTCTCTCTCTCTCTCTTTCTCTCTCTCTCACTGATGGGGGGTTGCAAAAAAGTTGAGTTGCGGTCAATTGCAAGCAAAGGTCTAGACAGCAATAACCATCTGATTTGGGTCATTTCTTTAATAAAACTGACATTTGTTGTCATTCCCCAATACAGATGGCAACCCAGAGATCTCGTACCGTGTGGGTGGCTATAGGCCTATATGTGCATATTTTCGTCCACGACATTTTCTCCCCGATTTTCTTTATTTAGATCTAATTTCCTGATTTCTAAATCAGATGTAAATTAGGTCGGTATGTCATTTGTCCTAATTACAGTTATCGAAATTTGATAACTCAATATTAAATGGATAATTTACGGACTTACTTATATGAATTATCTAATTTGTATCTCCGAACGTTCATGCACTCGGAACATAGGGCTATATGACCCGGCGGCCAAAATATTTCCGGGTCAACCTACCAAAACATAGCCAAATGGCCAATCAGAGCACTCGTTTTGTGGGAGTTCGTTGGTCAAGCTGGGCTTACTCGTACGGTAGCTATTGGACGTTCGAAAAGAAAAAATGAATATTCATCAACTAACACCAAGACGGATAATGTTGACTACGAGACTTTCTCGGATTAATCATTAATTTAGGATCTAAATGAGCAAGCTATCGTAAGTCAAATAAGCTACATATATGTTATTTTTAATTTGTGTTATAATTGCAGCAGTTGTGAGGATGTAAAGAGTGAAAATCTCGTTGCATATCTCATTCATCGCGGTCCGGTCGAACCGAACCATTTGTTCCGTACAGTGCCTCACAGAAAGAGGTCCCCAGACTTCAGTCTCTATAATCGGAGGTCTAGTGGAGCCAGACGTAGTCTCAGTGGAACAACTGACGATTAGAGAGACTGAAGCTTTCGGTCTAGCTTAGGTCTAGATCTAGGTCTAGCCAGGGATCTACGCTTGATTTGGGGGATTTGCAATTGATTGCAACTTTCTTGCAACGCCCCACTACACTACAGTGTGATATGATTATGAACACAATAGTATGAGTATGACTCTGTATGAGAATTGAATTGTTTATTGTCCATAAAAAATGAAAATTCGTTGTTCACTGGTACAGGTGTGTTACAAGTCTGGCAGAACACCGACTTACCCGCACAATGCACACACATATATGCATGTCACAATCACACACAGAACGTCACAACATACGGTACAAACCATCCAGGCCAGGCCCAGCCCAGGGACGGCGCCTTGTTTTCTGCTGTCACTCCGCTGGTACAATCTGGTTGTTTTTCTACCCTGTAATGCTTATTCATTCAACCTCATACTCACCATGTATGCAATTTTGATGAATTTTCGTGAACATCATAGAACTTGAGGTAAATTCCAAGTGTATGACAGATGAAAACAATAGAAATTACGACGTTCCTTGCCTGCTTGTCTCAGACGAAACGGGAATCCCCAATTTGTGCAGCGCAGATATCTCAATTATGTGTGTGTGTGCAGTGCAGTGCTAGTAGTATGTACGTGTACGTGTGGGGGTGTGTGCATGTATTATGTGTGTCTTTGTGTTGTTGTTGTAGTTGCTTTTCTCCTTGTTGTTGTTTTGACATGTGAGAGTTCTTTCTTTTCCTATTATTTGTATATGTAAACAATTATTTTCCTCTTATTTCGCGTTACATCTGCGCCCCTTTCTAGATCGCCCACAACATTATCGTTTTGGTGGGGGGGGGGGGGGGGGGGGGGGGGGGGGGGGGGGGGTACTCAGATTTGGTTTGGACGGGGTGTGTGCCGCTCTTGAAGCCTCGAAACCCATTCCCATTTTGTAAGGGTCATTGCCAAATGTTTTTCTCACAATTTTCGGGTCCAAATTTTTTGAAAATTAAAAAAAAACTGACCCATATATGTTTAGGTACCGGTATATTTTTGGTGAAAATGGGACCCATTATAGAGCGGCACACCCTGTATATATATATATGTCCCCCCCCCCCCCCCCCCGGGGGGGGGGGGGGGGGCTCTTGTTCTCCTTCTCTCAAGTTCTTCTCTTATTTCTGCAGCTTCTCTGTATAACTCCTCCTCCTTTTTACGTTCTCTTTTCCTTCTAATCATGCTATTCTTTTTTCTCTCACTCTTGTCTCTGTACTCCCCTTATATTTAATGGACACTCGAAAGTTTTGGAAAGTCTAACTGTGCCTATTTTTTCCGGCGTGTAGGCCTACCCCCCCCCCCCTCCCCCATCGTTCCACAATGATTCTGTTAGGACTCTGAGCTGAGTGGAACATTTGTCATTTCTCAGTCCGTATCAACACTCAGAACTATATGCAAACACACAAATGAACTACTAGGAACTGAGTACGAATTCTACATAGATTTCATGATATTTCTTTTCTTTATTTAATTCATAAAGATCAGTGAAAACTTGATTTTGAAACATATTCACGTCTTGCCTAGCGTATCAACCTCCTACAACTTATTTTGTTAAGCTGAAGTAGTAGGCATCATAAAGGCAATATAATGCATATGTTTCAAAATCACCCACTTTACATGACTCCCTTTGTGCACAAAGATCGAAGCGACTACTAGTCTAAAAAAAAAACACACTATAACTTGATATATAAGTAAAAAGAAAAAAAATAGTCTGAATTTGAATTTCTAATTCGTATTTTGGTCGGGTTCGAAGACCTTTTAGCAAATCGTTGTATTACACCCGTATTATAACTCACATAAGATTGTGTTAATAGTGAGTATACTAAAAGATTGGAAAAAAAAGTTTTCTTAATGTTAAGTTGTAATTTAAAGCCAACTCCTTTTGAATGAATCACTGGCTTCCACATACTATAATACCCATTTAGATTATATATAAATTATATACGAAGATATCAGGGTAGCTATTTCAAAAGTAGTTAGGATCGTGTTATGATTTTTTTTTCCCCTGTAAACTTTGTATGTACATGTATGTGAGCGAAACAATAATATCCACGACATACAGATGAGATGAAACGAAATGAATAAGAATTGCACTGTGGCTATATCAACCAGAGCTTAATACTATGATACTGCATTTTTTTAAATAAAAACAAATAGGGCTAAAACAAATGTATATCTTTCATGGCATGATATTTTGTTCTTAAATACAACTATATATATATAATTAACGACCCATTATTGGTATAATTGGAAAGTACTAAATGTAAAAACTTGAAACAAGATAGAGAGAGGGAGGGATTGAGAGAGAGAGAGAGAGAGAGAGAGAGAGAGAGAGAGAGAGAGAGAGAGAGAGAGAGAGAGAGAGGAGAGAGAGACGGACATACAGACAGAGACAGAGAGACAGAGACAAAGAGAGAGAAAGAAAGAAAACGACAGGAATTATTGGACGTAGAGGGGGTTATTGCATTTTAAATTGCAGTACAACATCGTCGTTTTACAGTTCTTCTCTATTTTCCTTCTCTGTCTCTGACCTCGCAAAGCCGTTCTCGACCATCAAATCATTTATCTGACCTCTGTTCATCTCGGAGAGGTCAATTCGCTATTAGAAAGAAGAAAGAAAAAAGAAAGTAAAACAAAAAATAAGAAAAATCATTTTGATTTATTTTGTGTGGTGCCAATTAAAAATGTCAGAAGTAAAAATCCCAGTCTGGGTAAAAATGTCAGAGGTAAACACTGAAAACAAAATAATGTCAGAGGTCTGAGGATGGTGGTTAATTAGAGGGATATTCGTACTGTCGCTTGTCTGAATCTTTAAATTGAATTATACAATTGCTTATATTGCGTAACAAAGATGTAGGGAAAGAATAGTTCATAGTATTGCAAGGAAAAGAAACGAATATTAAAAGGTCTGGCCATCGAATCAAAATCAATAAAAAAGCGTTGTCATGGATACCTGGTCAATGTTTCCTTCTGAATCCAGGATGAGTAGGTCTGGATTGGCGCCCCCCATAAACCTTAAATCTACTTCATGGCTGCAGATGACCAAGATAAGGAAACATAGTATAATGTTAATAATAATATTAATAATAATAACAATATAAGGCATTGAAAAGATAAATGTGTTGCTAGGTGCCAGCACCTGGGTCGGTCGGTCGATTTTCTTTTCATTTTCTTTTTTGTTTGTTCACTCTTTGGGCTGATATTTTTCAGTTTTTAATACATCATTTTTCTAAAAAAACATTAAAATATTTTTGGGTCGGTCTCACAGGGCAATAAAACACCTTTTTTTTTAAAAGGCCTAATAATGAAAATAATGATGATAATAATAATAATAATAATAACAAATGTCCACTAAGAAAGGTGCTAAAGGCGCTCCAATAATTCCTAAAAGCTAGCTAGGCTATCGATTTTGGTGCTCATACTATAGCCTTCTGAAAGTTAAATTCCCGTCGATACCTATTTTTCGTTGTTTAATACCTATAGGTGGAGAGTTGCAAATGTAGATTTATATATTCCCAAAGGACACCTGTGTCGCGCCGGGGTTCGATCCCACGATATTCGCATCTTCAGTCAACCAAGTGTTAACTATCTTTTTTTTTTTTTTTTTTTTTTTTTGGTTTTTGTTGTTGTTGATTAACCTTTACATGGAAAAAGACCATGATGTAGTAGATTTGTAGGAAGATATTAGTTTTATTTTGTTGTTGTACTCCTATATGGAAAAGACCATTGATGTAATAGCAGTTGATATGCAGGAAGTCATTGGTTTTATTAACTGGAATGTACAAGTAGGGAGATATGGCTTACTGTAGTTTGAAATGGCAAGATGTATGTACAATGAAGGCAAGAGAGAATAGTGTTGAATTGAGATGGAGACAGCACAGAGGAAATGTATTTACACTGTAGAAGCAACTTGAACTTAATATTTATTGATGTAGTGATTTTTTTTTTTTTTAATTTATTTATTTATTTATTTTGTTGTTGTTGCTGTGTTGCTGCAAATGTTAAAAGAGAAGTAGTTTCTCAATGCAATTTTACTAGCAGGAGTTTCAGAACACTACCTTAATCCAAATGTTAATGAGTTACAATGCAGTCGATCTGTAGTAAGGTATTTGTTTTGAGAACTGTTGAAGGTAGAAAGAAGGGGAGATATGGCATAGTCTTTGAATTGTAAGTGTTATACAATGAAGGCAGGATAGAAAAGTTTTGAATTGAGATGGAGATAACACAGGGTGGTTTATCCTTTTTTTTTTCTTTTTTTTTTGATTAACCTTTACATGGAAAAAGACCATGATGGAGTAGATTTGTAGGAAGATATTAGTTTTATTTATTTATTTTTTTTTTACAAGGAAATGTAGAAACAAAGGTCAGACAGTGCATAATTTTCAATTGCAGGCTGTATGACAAATAAGTAGGAAAGCTAAATTAGGGGAGAGGGGAGAGGGGGGAGGGGACTGCCATGCAACGTTTGCAAAGGCAGTCTGGTTAATCATTATGTATGATTCGCCACGCGAACTCTGTTATTTGTCTGTTTCATGTTGTCATCTTATGTTTTCTTGTGTTCTTTTCCTTTTATTTCCTTTTCTTTTTTTTCTTTTTTTCAAATATGGGTTCTCGAATATTTGTAGTAGTCTCATGTATTTATACATATTCTTTTTCTTTCTTAGTTTCCTTTCATAGGGAAGAGGGTCGTGAAGTTGTTTCATTAAAAATATTAATTTGCCAAGAGATGATCCCTTTATCTGCAAGGTCGGAATTTATAGAGGGTCCCAGCTCATATATAGATAAGGGTTTATTTCAACAAAAAAAAGATGGATAATAAAGGGAACTTGTTTTCATGTAACTATCTTACACTAAAAGTGAGGGGAATTAGAGATAGAAGCAAACGAGAAAAAATGTTTAATTGGTTTAGGACAAAGTCTATAGATATAATATACTTACAAGAAACATACAGTACACCTGATATCGAAAAGAAATGGCAATTGGAGTGGGGCGGGAATTGTATCTTTAGTCATGGTACAAGCCACAGTAGAGGAGTTTTGGTATTAATAAATAGTAAGTTAGACATTGAAATTAGCGACACTTGTGCAGACATAAATGGAAGATATTTATTGATTAGATGTAATATACAAGGTCAGAAGATGTTGCTAGGAAATGTTTATTTTCCTACTGGAAATAACGAAGGGGAGCAAATAAAATGTTTAATGGATTTAAGGGAGTTGTTGTATAGAAACAATTCAGAAGGGAACCCAGTAGTTCTTGGAGGTGATTTTAATGTTATTAGAGACAAGAACTTAGATTATTTTGGACAAGTTACAAAGAAGCAATCAAAATTCAGTAGCAAATTAGAAGAATTCATGGATGAATTTAAATTAAGAGATGTATGGAGAAATAAAAATAAAGATAAAAAACAATATACTTATAGACAAGGGAATCCATTTATGCAAAGCCGTTTGGATTATTTCATTATATCAGAGAATTTAGAACAGATAACATCCAAATGTGACATTATTCCCTCCTTAGCACCCGACCATTCAGCTGTTAATTTGGTTCTGCATGATAGAACGTCTAGA